TAAGTAACTATGAATTTTATCTAACGTGAAATAATTTTTTCAATGTATCATAATGTAATCAAAACTTTAATAAATAAATAATCTTAATTTTCTGAAGCGATCAAGAAGTGTTGGACCAAATCAAAGTCATAATTGGAGGACACTTTCTTGGAAACTGGGCAGCATACACAGAAGTAGACCCCAAGGTTCGTGAACTTTGGTGGAACCTTTTCAAGGTAAAAAAATGAATTTTCTCTGCGTAATTGTATTAACGTAACATTTAATAAAAGATAAATTAATTTAATTGTTTTTTATAAAGGGTCGGTTTCGATGGACTGAAGCCCAAGGTCCAGCTATTCTTAGAGCGTATAACGCTAGGATTTCAAATTGGCTTCGTCCTACTTTTAGGCGTGCCCGAACGAGCGGGGTAAAGCCTGGATGGTGTTCGGATGAGGTGTGGGCTAACCTCGTCCGTCACTGGTCTTCTGATCCAAACTTCTTGGCAAGAAGTCAATCCGGTAAGAAAAACCGGATGTCCGAGAAAGCCTTAGAAACCCAATGGCATGGGGGCCGCAAACCTCAGAGTAGACATAAGGAAGATCTTGTAAGTATTTTTCAAAAAACTTTACACAATTACAACCCTTTATTTTAACAATTAATTATGGATCTTAAGCCTTTTTTCCAAATTGTAGTCGGGGCCTGAGAAGAAGAAGGTCTCAATTCTCAAGGTCATCAAGCACTGCTGGACAAAGCACGGCGATGAGTCCGATGCCGATCTGCCACCCCGCCTCGCTGAAATCGAAGTAAGTAACACTATTTTGTTACTTATTTCCATTCAAAATCAAATTGAGTAACATTAAATTAACAATTTTTGTACATGTAGTCAAAGTATAACACAAATGTTGAGAAGAGGCGGGCAGAATTAGGCTTGACTCAGGAGGATGAGATTGATTCTGATGTGGAGGATGATGCCATCTTTGAGGCAGTTGGGGTGTACAAGGGCCGGGTCCCGTGCATGGGGGCTGAGGGGCAACGGATCTTGTACGACCGCAGCGGTGCTTCATCTTCCCGATCAAGGCGCGGAGAGGATCCGCGTATCGCTCAAATGCAGCGGGAGATGGAGGAGCAGCATCGGGCCTTGGCTGAGCAGCAGCGCGCCTTGGAGGAGCAACGCAAAAAAGATGAAGAAACAAGGGCCCGGCTGGAAGAGATGGAACGGATCCTCAGCGCCGGAATTCGGAATCAGCCTCAGCCTCAGCCGTATGTACTGCACCCCGAGCAGACACCTCAAGTTCCGCACATGGGCGGTTATTTCCGTACCAACTCTGCTACCGGGTTGCCTTCATTTGGTTCTATTCAGGATATCAATTTTCACAACCTGTTTCAAACATCTGGAGGCAGCCAAGCAGGTGGCAGTCGCGGAGGTGGCAGTCGCGGAGGAGGCAGTCGCGGTGGCAATCGAGAAGGCCAAGCTGGAGACAACCGAGAAGATGAGACCGAAGAAGATTACCTATATGATGATTCTAGATATTATCATAATGGTAATCGGAGGAGCTTGTAAATCATATACATTTTTATTTGAACATTGTTTATTTACTATAATTCTATTGTGCTTATTATTACTTTTATTTCAGTCTGTTTGGTTATGAAATGTGTGTTCTAGTAGTCGTTTATTACTTCTATTCTACAAATATTTTTTAAAATAAACTTTTCTAAAGAATAATTAAAAAAAAATTTATTTTTTTTATAAAACAAAAAAACTTTTTTTTTAAAAAAAAAAAACTTTAGTCACGGATCCGAGCCGTGACTAAATTCTAGACCGATTTTAAAAAAGTTATATAAAATTTCAAATTTAATTTTTTTTTTAAAAAATAAAAAAGTAGTCACGGATCAAGTCCGTGACTAAAATTTGAAATTTGAAAATTTAAACCGTAACATTTGGCGGTTCATTTTTTTAAATTTGAAAGTTTAGTCACGGATTTGTCCGTGACTATATTAGTCACGGAAAAGGCCCGTGACTAAGTCGCCGGTGTGGTTATTCCGGTGACAAGTTAGTCACGGAAACGGTCCGTGACTAAGCCGTGACTACGCTAAGTCACGGATAAAATGACCGTGACTAGAATTAGTCACGCCCAAACAGTCACGGAGTTAGTCACGGACAAAGTCCGTGACTAGCGGAGTTAGTCACGGATTTTTTATACTACGGTCCGTGACTAAATCCGTGACTAACTCCGTGTTTTTTTGTAGTGTACCAATAATGAATTATAACATGTCTACAAAAGAACTATGAAGAATAAAATATGGTACACTTAACTATGACTGTAATCAACGTTGCAAAAATTCTAAATAAAAGTGCATCTATGAAAAGTTTTGAGTTAATTATTGCGATACATAAATATAATGCATCAATATTCCTTCATCGATGCACATTTAATATATGACCTCGTTCTTCAAATTTTTGAAGAAGTGAATTATGTTAACAACAAATGTGCATCATAGTTAAAAAAAAATTGCAATGACAAATTGCATGCTTTCACGTTAAAGATAACACACAAATTTACAAATTTTGATGAAGATGCATATAGCATGTGCATCATTGCAAGTGCACGTTAGCATGTGCAAAGTCACAAAAAGAAATAGATAACACCTATTATTGCAAAAGTTTTAAAGACATGTGCATGATTGCAAGTGCACGTTAGCACTTTCGTAATATTTTATTTTGATCTGGTGCAAACTTATGGATTCCAAAGTGCAAATTGAATCAACTAAAAGAGCACATACACGGTCAATAAATTTAAGTGAATATTTTGAATGTACATAATATGTGAAACGTGAATTGAAACATCAGCTATCATGGAAAATAATAAACTGAAATTTTAGAGAGTATTATATTTAATGATCTTAAATGCATGGAAACATGAACCATGATGCCTTATTCTTTAAATTAAATGATAGTGAGCTTTACACTTTTGCCCTCCATATTAAAATCGTTGATCATTATTGATCATTATTATAATAATAATAATTGACATTTAAAATTCAATTTAATTACCAACCTATCACAGTAATTTATATTCAATCTTAACCTTTAATTTCATAAAATTAAATGTTAGATTTTATTCTCATTTCTCTCCTGACACATTATTCTCACCGGAATCGCACCCTATATATATTCACTTAAAGTATACGAGTTTATTTGAGTTACCAAATATCTTGTGATTGCTAAAGCAGTACTATATTAGAAGTCTCAATCAAGAAAGTGTTAGAAATTATAGTTGTGGGATTGCAGATGAAACCAAACTTAGAGATGTGATAAATCAGTGTCCTTAAGGTAATAATATTAGCCCCCACTATTTTAATGCTACAGGTTAAGGCTAATTTGCCCCTAAGATTTTCCTAACATAAGAATTTTATGGTAGCATTAAAAAAATTCTCTCTATGAGTAGATTTTTTACAAAAAAGATGGGAGGATCAGATTGTTATTTTCGTATGGCCCCTTCATCTTTATTTATAAGGTTGCTTGAATGACAATGATAGGATGTTAACGACAAATTGTATCTGTTGGCAACATACCAACACATCCTTTCATTAATATATTGCATTCTTTCATTTAAATCAAAATCAATTAATTAACTTAGTTAATTAATCAAATTCAAAATTAAATCTGCCATAATAAATAATAATCAGAATAAGCTAACTCTTTGTCTGACCAACTATGGAGTCTTTATGTTTCATTAGAAAGGTCTTTTTTTAATGGATGTCCTAGATGTATGTGTAATATACGTGTAGTCGATGACTTGATGACAAGTTTAAATGTGATAGTTTCAATGAAGATTTTATCAAGATGTACAAGAGGTTTAGAGAATTATTTCCTCTTACTTTCAAGTTAGTACTCCCTCCGTCTCAGACACAAGTTCCCACTTTCCTTATTTAGATGTCCCAAAATAAACTTCCCACTTCTTTATTTAGAAAATTATCTACATCAAAACAGTGCAAAACAATGTCAAACAGTGATGAAACAGTGTCGAAACAATGTCAAAACAGTAAAATTTAATCCTCATTAAATTTAATTCCTAAAAATGTGTGAAAGTCAAACTGAGAACTTGTTTCCGGGACGGAAGGAGTATCGCAGACATTTCTAAATGATAATAAGAAAAAACTTCATCATATTCTTCATCAGCAAGGTTGAAAGATAAAGAAAAAGGCCACTAATAATTATTATGCTACAAAGTAATTAATATCAAAGACGATATAGCAAGGCAAATAATAAATTTATACAAATCCCATAGGCCATGTGTCATGTGATGACATATTTACTACTTGCATGAAATTTTGACATTTACGTACGAGGTAGCAAAATTAGCAATACATTTAACAAGGGTGATGGTGAAAAAATTTCTAAAATACGACTATCATTGAGTTATTTCTAGATAGGACCAATTCACCCTCATAATATATTTTTTCTTTCACAAATGTAAATTTATAATGTTAAAATATACAATTTAAAATACTTTGGACATTTATAAGGATGAAATTATTATAATTTAAGCTTCAATATTTGAAATAAACAACATTAATAAATAAATTTATATTATTAATTGCACACTTAAAAATGCTTAAAGTATTTTTAAATTATTTACTTAACATTATAAATTTACATTTGTGAAACAAAAAACATAGGGAAAGTTCCCGAAATAGGACTAAAAAAGTTTGAAAATTCTAAAATAGGACTGTCATGTTTTTATTCCCAAAATAGGAGTAATTACTGTCAAGTTTGGAAAATACTGTCATGTTTGAAGTCTGATACTGCCAAAACATGGCATTAATTAGTCTTATTTTGGGAATAAAAACATGACAGTCTTATTTTGGAATTTTCAAACTCTTTTAGTCCTATTTCGGGTAATATCTCAAAAACATATGATCACAATATTAAAATACTCCTCGAAAATTAATTTCCTTAATAATAATAATAATAATAATAATTAATATTATACTCTATAGTATAATAAAAATGGAATGCAGGGAAATAAACGTCATGGCCGAGCACTAAGTAGTAGAGATAATGGCGGTGGATGATGACACTCTTCGGGACTTTGAGGGAGATGATGATGAGGAGCCACAACCAGCATCTGCAGCCGCCCTCTTCTTGCCACCGCCACCGCTGAGGGCAGATTCCCGGTGGAGCAGCCGTCTCTGCGTGGCGGTGGGAGACAATGTGAACGGCGGGATGTCAATTGACTTGAGCTGATACGGCGGCGGGCGTTGCCACTCAGGCAGAGGCCCGGCCACAAGAAGCGTCTGGAGTAACGGCCCCGCTTCCATTACAGCCTTCAAGAATTTCCCCTTTTCCGGGAGCGGCAGCTTCGGCAATATCTTATCGGTGGCGTCAACGGACGCCGGCGGCGGAACGAAAGCGACGGCGTTGTTCCCGTGAGAATCGGAGGACGATGGCGTTCGCTGATCTTCATTAGTGCTCGTCGTTGTAGTAACAGTGGATTGCCCTGTGGCGGCCTCTGCAATGCCGATCAGGTGTTTGGGAAAATGCCTGTTCAGCTTTTCCTGGAGGAGGTAATTTTCTGATTCTATCTTCCCGCATTTCTCTTTGAATTCATCTCTTTCCTTGACAATTCCCGCCAAAAGGTTCTTGAGGTCTAAGATCTCTTGATCCTTCTTAGAAATCTCATCATTGGCACAAATGATTGTCTTCTCTAACTCCAAGGTTGTGTATAACAAACCCTGCTTCAACTCCTCAATTGCCTGTCAACACCTCAGCTATTAGCCTATTACTCTTTGATACTGCTATTATATGTACCTCCACAAAATAACATTTAAAAAAGGACATTGAAAAGAATGGCTTGAAGAAGTTACCTCCTCTTCAAAGAAGAAGAAAGGCATGGCAAGAGGGCTACATTGGTCTTCCATTTCGTTTTAGTCTCTCTTTTTGTGTAATTCAAAAGAACACAATTACACAACTAAGTATCAGCTAGCTAGTACCAGTAGCTATGCCAGGATTGTCAGGTGAGGTTATTCTTGCTACTTATAAAGGTGGGTTTAAGAGCTAATGAGGTGTTCTTTTTGTGAGACATAAATTATTTAGAAATATGGCTATGGTAAGGGCAGTTCAGTTAAGTGGAGTGCACATCTTTGTTTATATATATACACGTACACATACATACCTTTATTATATATATAAATGCGGAGTATAATACTCTGTATATAGTATATATACATACTAACATACACACACGTAGTAAATAGGAAGCATATTACTTTGAAAAAATTAAACAAGCAGGATTTGTCTTTTGCACAGTGGTGTACTCGTTAGCAAAGAAGTGTGAACTGAGGGACTAAAATGGTGCGGGGCTGAACCCACTGCCAAAAATGGGTTGCCCCTACTTGTAGGTCAAAATACGGAGGAACTAATTTAGCAATTCCATGCGGTTGATCAACAATTACAGGCTATCATCTTATCTTTTGAAGTTTCTTCTTCAATTCCTAGATAAATGATGTAAATCTCTAATAAATGGAAGGAGGGGTTATTAGAGGGGTCCATTACACAGGTCTTCTGAGCCTTTTGTCTTCAAGAAAAATCCCCCTGCGAGCCACATGTTTTTGAGAATAGGAAGTTTTTGAGAATAAGATTTGCTTCACACGTCAATCTCATACTCTCATACGAACTCCAGTCTAACCGGACCAAATTTAATTAGACCCGACTAGACCAGACTTAAACAGACTACACCAGATTAAATTTTGATAATTGTAATATACACATAGATTTGACATATACTAGATCAAACTAGTTCAGACCAAATAAAGTCAGACCATAAAACTTTAGTCCAATTAAAATCATCTTAAGAGCCTCTTTGTTAACTTTTAATTCTATGCGCTAAATTGTGTAATAAGTAAAATAAGTAATGTTAAGATTCTTTTTAGGATTAAATTGGCTTAAGCTATTGTAGATGACCATTTTATCTAAACATTAATTCAAATTTCTTAATTTTATCAAAAAGGAAATTTTAAATATAATTTCATAATTCACCATATTTCGTTAATTTAACATTTTAACCATTTCAACCATAATTTTATCAATTTCAGCAAATTCAGTCGATTTAACCGAAGTCAATATCGCCAAATAGGCTGTAAATGTTTTCTCCAGGAGAATTGATGGTAGTGAGTACAAGTTGATGTATTGATTTACAAAAACATTCGTTTTGTTGTGAAAGTGATACATTTTTGAATCGATCGACCTCGCATATTGGCTTTACTGGACCACTTCTTAGCATCTAAATAGTGATGCATTAATACTCAATGTGATGCCGTGTCTGAAACTTATAAGTTATGAGGTACTTCCCTCTTTATCACAATAGGTATCCCATTGTTTTTTGGGCCTACCAAAACAAGTGTCTCACACTCATTTGTGGAAATAAATTTACTCCAAAAGCAGTTATAATACACTTTAATAAAGTAAACCGTACTGCTAAAGATATAAAAAAACTCCTATTTTTTTAAAAAGTGTACAAATTAACCTATAAATTATCTTAAACTACGTGAAAAGCCTTCTTGAATACTTATTTTAATACAAAGGGAGTACAAAATATTGATTGATAGCTATACCGAGACGTAGTTTACATAAGAATTCGGTTATATCTATAAATTGCAATACAAATATCGGTGACATACATACTACGTAAGTACGATTGTAAAGCTTGATGCCTTTTGCTTTCTCGTAAAAAACGGATGACACCTCATCTTTGAGCCCCCTCCCCCCCCGAACTGACCATACACTTATCTGGGAGGATATAAATTGAGCTTTGATCTCACACTAATGGAAAGAGAGTGATGCTTCATACCAAATTTTTGCTTGGAGTTGAATCCAAGGCGCTCCCTTGCGACACTCTTGCTTGGAGTACAATTATAAAGCTTGATGCCTTTTGCTTTCTCTTCATATGACCTTAGGTCGTCTAGGGGATCAAGGAAGTTGAGACATTGTCAGCCCAGCCGATGAGTCCAAACTTTACAAGCAGTCCTATTGTTCAAAGGTCCATCTGGACCATTCTTGAACTGTGACCAAAAGCCCAGTTATGGTGGATACACGAACTCAGGTCCAATTCTCTTGTAGAATCTGCAACAGTGAAAGACACCCTCATGTTTTTGCTCCTTCATCATCATCATTACCCCATTGCTGCAAAGGCTAAAAATATAACAAAACCACATAAAAACTAAAAAATGTATTATTAGGCATATAGGCTAGCTGGTAAAGTTTGACCATAGTGAGCTCAGTAGGTCACTTTAGAAATCAAATGTCTCAAATAGGGACACTAAACAATGCTCAACAGCTTTAAAATGTGCTTCGCCTTGATCCTTCTTTATACGAAGTATACATAGTCCTTTTTATTTTATTTTTTATGTATGGAACATTGCGTTTTCGTGTTTTCACTTTTGATTTTTCAAACCACCGTCTACGCGTGATACAAGTTACTACGCATGTCTTTATGGTTTATTTTCTACAGAATTAGGAGAGACATTCATAAGAGAAAATGGTGTGAAATAGATTACTTCTTGTAGGAGAGGGGAATAATTTGAGCGAGTCCCACTAAAAGTTTGGCCGGAATAGCACTAAAAATAGATAACAGGCGAAGAAACATGACAGATTGAAGGCTTGTTTTTTTCTCCAAAAAATTGTCATAAAAAGAAACATTTTTGTTTGAAAAGAAAAGAAATTATATTAAATTATCAAACGAAAAAAAGAATAGCAACCAATCAATAGCTCAAAATCCACCACTTATCTTCTAACGAACTCATCTATACTCAAGAAACGTCCTACAATTAGACACTGAGACGGTCATCTTTAAAAAAGCAGCGTGAATCGCCGACTACCAAACGAGCAACATAGAATTCTTTTTGACCTTTAAAGTCATCGTAATCTTTACCACTTTCCTAGTCTCCTAGATTCATAATAGTCAAAATATCTCCTCAATCTCTGACTAGACATAGAAAAGTTCACCCAAAATCGAGCGAAACATTTCACTGAACATATGGGTTCAAGCAATTAATGGCTGTAGAGATCTCAATACTTCTGATTATAGCTAAAACTAGATAACTTAACACTGCCACTAACAACAACATTCCAAAAATAAGGTAATTAGTCTATGGAAGTAAAAATAAAACTTGAAATAAAACTAAAGCAAACCCTAGTTGTCACCGTTCACTCCATGGTTGCAGCTCAAGAAGAGTCCGGACCATCAACATTTCATCTTCTTCCTCCAGGACCAAAAGATCAAAGACCAAAACAGATGACGTTATTGTCACCGTTGGTGATATCACAAGTGAAGCGGTCGCCGTTGCGGGCGTTGTCGCGGCTGCAAGCATTGATCCAAGCACAAGTAAGACTACTATGTCGAACTTCCCCTAATCACTATTGTACCTTAGATATTGATCAATAATTCAAAGCCAAGAAACAAGCTTTTTCATCCCAACGCCAAGGGAAAAGCTGGCCGCACAAAAACTAAATCCTATGCAGGCAAGGAGCTTTGCGGGGAGACCGTCCTCGATGATCAACTATTCTTAATACCTTTTATTTTATAAATGGTGCTTTTTCTTATTCAAAAACACTAAAAATATAAAAAATATTCTCTCTTCGTTTCTTTTTTCTCTCTCTCTCTCTAAACATGCACTCCATTTCCTTTGTTTTCTTTTATCTTCAAATCGTATCAAGATTAATGAAAAAGTCTATGTTTTAATATGTGTAATTCTATTCAAAACACCCAAATTGGGTAAATTATACCGTACACCCGGTTGTACGGTTCTCACCGTACAACCGGGTATTTTTGCAATTAATTGAAATTCCGGAGGAAGAGATCGGTGGATTGGGAGGGATCTGAGATTTAATTCGGTGGCTTCAAGCTGGTGTTCTCTGAGATTCTGGGAGTTGATGAACGAGACGCCGACGGATGGATGTCTACTGCTTGCTGGATCTTCTGCTCGGTTGATGAAGGAGAATCACGGAGTGACGGTGTGGTCTTCTGCTCACTGGATGGATGACCGCTAGTTGCTGCTATTACACGTTTTTCTCTTTTGTCTTTTCTGTTCTTCTTTTCTTGCTTTTACGTTTTTCCTTCTTTAGTTCTTTCTTTTTCTTAATTTTTTTTATTTTAATCTTTATTCAATTATAAAATATTTTAGATACTTCATTCAATTATAAAATATTTTACATACTAATGTTTTGTTTTTCTATAGCTCATTTGGTTAGTTACACATGCTCATTTGATATTGGTTTTATGCTCATTTTAAAATGTCATATCAATACACAAATCAATATTGAGCACAATATAATAGAAATGAGTTTAATGTTAAATCCAAATGAGTATAACGTCCAACATGAATGAGCATACACAAATGCGTTTTGAATTTTTTTATACTCATTTTGTAAGTTATGTATGCTCATTTGGTAATGTTTTGTGCTCAATTTAAAAGGTTGCACATTTCAAACATATCATACTACATTAGATTCACATCAGAAATGACTTTTATGTTAAGCTCAAATGAGTAAAATGCCCAAAACGAATGAGCACATACAATTATATAAATGAACTTTTGAATTTTTTATACTCATTTTGTAAGTAATGTGTGCTCATTTGGTACTGTTTTATGCTCATTTTAAAAGGTTGCACATTTCAAACATATCATACTACATTAGATTCACATATTGAAATTAATTGAAATTTAGACATAACCTAAGACTTTAATAAACGAAAAAATAATAAACAGAAACTGATATATAAGGTATGAAGCAGAGTTCACTGATGCTTACCGTTTGGCTCCTAATACTCAAAAGAACAGGCTTGATGTTCATCAAAGTTGCATAAATGCTCATTTAATTGAGCATCAAATATCCACTATTGAGATGAAAATCAAGGTTTCTGGTGAATGAGCATTAATGAATTGTTAATGAGCATCAGATATATTATGTTGAGTATTAGAAGTCTAATATTCAGAATCGTGATATCTGCTTCATAACTTCTAATTCACTTTCTTTTTGTTATTTTTCCTTTTATAAAAACTTATTAAATTATATTTCTAATCAACTCCTATGAAATTCAATATGTGAACCTAATGTAAAATAGTACTTTAAAGCAAATGCATTGATATGCCATTTAGAAATGAGCATAAGATCAGTATCGGATGAGCATACGTAATTTACAAAATAGTTTAATATGAAAATCGCAAAGTTTGTTAGTTTGACATAACAATATATTCATTGAATATCAAACCTCATCTATTGAGATGAAAATCAGAATTTTTGTTAAATGGGCATTATTGAACTTTTAATGTGCGTCAGACCTATTATGAGCATTAAAACACTTTCGATGAGCATTAGACTTATTAGGAACTTAACAATATATAATAAAATTATAAATATATTTATATAAATTAATAGTATGATTCATAGGTCAAATAAATATTTCAAAAATATGAATTAGTCTTGTAATATAGTAATAATGAGCAAAAGCAAAAGAATAGTTAATATTATAATTACTATTAATGAACAATTGTAGTACGGAGTATGAAAATATGTAGAATAAGGAAGATAAGAGAACGGATTATGTCAACAAAGCATGACAGCGAGATGGATGGAAGGCTGCATGCTATACCCCAGGTCATTTAATAACTCAAATATCTAATTACTAATTACAGAACCAGCGTTTCATGATGAACCCTTTAATTACGATCAGGGGCGGACCCAGGAAATTGATATTGGGGGGGCGATAATTTAAACAAAAAAAAATTAGGCGATTATTATTATAAGTTATAACCTTAATATAATACGGAGTAGTAATTCAATGAAGCATTATAATAGAAGAGACAAATATATTATTACAAAATAGTTAAAGTTAGTACCTTAGAATTGTACCCAATGTTTCTTCAACGAGATAAATTCCTCAATCACGGCTTTTTAGTCAAAAGTTTTAGCAATTTCTCTTTCAATATAAACAATAAGGTTGTCTGCAACATACTCATCCTCCATTTTATTGCGAAGCCTTGTTTTTATAATTTTCATTGCGGAAAAAGTCCTTTCGGTTGTTGCTGTCGAAACCGGTAGAGTCAACAAAAGTTGGATGAATTTATCAACAAGCTAAGAATACACTTTTGACATCTCCGTCTCCGCTAATCTTTGACAAAGTTCACCCATTGTAGAAAAATTCGCCAACTTTGGATGGTTTAGAACATTGAGCTTATAATGTTGCAATTGAAACCTCAAGCTCACCTTCTCCTGCTCAATAAAATCAAAGGGGTAATATTTATCCACTAAAGAACATATATCATCAATGTTAAAAGACTTATATGAGTCCTTAGGATCCAAAGCACCACTAAGAGTAAGAAGATCCATTATCTGTTCACCGAATCTGTTATTCAGCTCCAACAATTATGAATCTATGGCTGCGTAAAACATATCAACCCGATAGTGACGTTCAATATCAAACCCTTCTTGATCATGGCGTTTGCGTTTTACCATATAAGGAGACTTCATATTAGGAACTTCAATTTCATGCTTTGTGCAAAACTCTTTAACAATTTCTAAGAAGTTATCCCATCCACCCTCCCTTAACTTTTGGATCAACATTTTGGTGCTTGACACCAAATGCATAGCATTTACTATGTCTTGGCACTTCTTCTGTATATGCTGACATAGAAGATCTGTAATGCCCATAATTTCTTTAATAAGATGCAACAAGAAAACAAAATCAAAAGATTTAATCTTCTTAAGTTCTCTAGCTGCATTTCCACGAGTAGAATAGTTATTTCCATTCTCTTCATCGTCTTCTAAAACAAAACAAGTTGCTGCAAACATCCTAATCAAACTGCAAACAGAACTGAAATGTGAGCTCCAACGAGTTTCCCCAGCTTGTTGTAATGTACCAACCTAATTAAGTCATCTGCTTGTTTCAAGCTCACCAATTTCCAACATTCTTGCAATTTCAAGTGCTTGAGCTTCCTTTAATTCATCACTTCGTTTGCAAGAAGAATTAGTCACATTAATAATAAAGACTGAAGCAGCAACCAATGCTAATTGCAACTGATGTGCTCAGCAATGAACATAGTAGGCATAAGGACAATCATTTAAAAATAATCGATCTTTCCGTTTCTTTCTTCTAGGTGCGCATGTTTTTCATTAGTTTGGTCTGGGCGGTGGGCTGGGATTAGATTTTGGGGTGGGTTAATGGGGAATAAATTTTGGAGTGAGTTGATATAATATTACTTGTAAAATTTCTATTTTTTTAGGCTCTTAAACAATTGGGTTTCTGCGAGTGGTCTATGCTTTGGGGGAGAAAATATTTTTTGGGGGGGTTCAAAATTTTTCTTGGAGGGGCGAGAATTAAATGTTGGGGGGATAAAAATAAAAATTTTGTATATATACATACTAAAAAAAATTGTTGGGGGGGCGGCAGCCCCCCTGGGTCTGTACTACGGTCCGCCCCTGATTACGATCATAAATTTATGGAACATAATCGACCAGAAACCTAAGTTGACCGGAAAAAGCGGAAGACGCCGAAGCAGGGAACATCAGAAAGTCGAAATAGCAGTAATAAACAGGACAACGCATTAAACACACCAATATATACGATGTATTTGTCTATCTCTACCAGTAGCATAAATATTTGCACATCAGGGTCTAATGCAATACAGTACTAGCATCAAGCAATCAATTAATTGAAGGAAATACTCAAACCCAATACCTCTCAGCAATACTCCCGTTGATTAGCTCCACACATATGTTAATATGATAAAATAGTGCTGAGAGATGTAAATAAAAACTCAGTCCTCTATGGCAATTTAAATTAGTGGTTGAGATTTGGAATTTCAATCATCTAAGGTTTGATAACAACTAAAATGTCTATCAATTTCATTTCGTATATGAATATTTCAAAGTACAGAAATGTGGGGTTATGGATTTAGGTCCAGAGCTTAATAAGCCCAAACCCATGCCTTGCGTTAGCAGGCCCAAACTCAAGCCTGAGACCTGCCTACCAGTCCAACCGGGAGCCTGCCAGCTTGACCGACCTGCCAGTCAAGAAGAGTAACGGTCAAACAATTACTCCACGGTTTAATTATGGAATTAATTTCATATTACTGTTTTAATCAATTAGTCATTATTATTGATAACTGTTACGATTTGTAAACGCAATTTTATGGGATGCTATTTTTGGCTACTAAACCTCCTTTGCACTTTCCATATTAATTCTTACTATTTTTTCTACTTGAGTATTCTATTGTAACTTTCCTAAAAGTCTATAAGAATCCATTTTTGGACTAATAAAAAATATCCACTTGTGGATATGAGGCGAAGATTTCAAAGGATAAGTATAAGTCTCCCTATCTCAACTCCGGCAAAAATGGTGAAATCAAAATTCAATAGAACGATTTGCAAAAAATCCAAATTTGTTACATCAGAAAATTGTCTCAAATCAAAATATACAGAAAATCTCAAAAGAATAAGAGGTGCCACAACATGAAGACTAGATATCAGTTTAAAGAATTTCCTTGGGTGTAATTTTGGGTTTTCTTTTCTCTGTACTTTTTTGCTTTGTTTCTTTTATTTCCTTTTCAGCCTGTACTGTTTACTACTTTCAATAAAATTCACTTTCTAAAAAAAATAAGGATGTAGTGGGATATACTCGGTATATAAAATAATTTTATGTTTTAAAGGAAAATAGGTGTGTATTTAGAAAATATAAAGGGTGTTTCTATTTACAAACCCCCAATTGACTTAGGGAGTGTTTGCGATTGCTTCAACTTTTAAAAAGTGATTTGGGGAAAAGTGATTAATAGTAAAATTTGATAGTGTTTGAGAAAAAAGTGATTCTGAAAAAGTAAAAGTTGGTAGTGTTTAGTAAAATAAGTACTTTTTGTGTAATAGAAAAAGTGAGAAGCAGTTTAAAGCACCCTTCTACCTGCTTCCAGCTTTTAGCTTTTAAGTGATTAATTTAAGCAGAAGCTATCATTTGAAAACAATCTTTTCAACTTTTTTAAAGCCAAAAGCTAAAAAGCTCTTTTTTTAATCAATCCCAAACACTCCTTTAGTTTCCAACATTACCCTTTTCACATAATTAAAATTGATACAACAATATAACTTATACTCCGTAATAAATTAATTTAGTTCATCATTGCCAGACCATTGTCCATTATAACAAGACCAAATTGGAGATCAACAAGACCAGCTTTCCATTACAGAATCTGTACATACAGAAAGCATCAAAATTCACCGGAATCATCATATTCACCCGTCACCACCGGAGATTATAGTCTTCTCTGTCATAGCTTGTAGAAAATACAAAGAAAGTCAACTTGATGAGCTGGACTAATGTTTGTTAGAATAGTCAAATCTGTTTGTAATAATTAGTTTCATTCATCTTTGCATTGTGATCCCAACTCATATTGGAGCTTGAAGTATTTCCTTTTCCTCCAGTCACATATCCATCTGTTGGTTTCTGAACTGCCATAGCAGTAGCATCTTGATCAACAAAAATGCCAGAACTAATGTTCTTCTGCATTTCAACTTGTTGGACACTGAAATACGCTTGATTCACAGTAGGTAATGGATCTATACCCAGTATTTGACCTCTTATGACTTCATACTTGTCATCGAGTCCCATCAAGAAATCTAACAACCTGTTCCTATTCTCCCTGTCAAGAATTTTCTTTAGCAGATTACAGGAGCATGCATTTAAAGCACCACAGTCACATTCAGGTAAACCATCAAGACTTTGTAAATCTTCCCAAACTGATCTCAATCTGCCATAGTAATCAGCTACAGGTTGTCCATCTTGTGATATGTGAACCATGTCTTTGCGTAGTTGATATAGGAATGGAGCATTAGTCTGATTATATCTTTCACTTAGTTCTTCCCACAATTGTTTAGATGATGTGACATACATCATGCTGTTTGCTATTGCAGGATTCAGAGAGTGTAAGATCCAACACATAACAGTATAATCAGCTCTAATCCAATCCTGGTACTTATCATTATTTTCAGATGGCTTGGCACATTTTCCATTTATAAAACCAAGTTTATTTTTGGATATCAACGCCATTTTAACTCCTCTAGTCCAATTAAGGTAATGTTTACCATTGAAAGGTGTAGAAACTAGTTGCAGATTCGGATGATCTCCAGGACCCAGGTACAGCGGATCCTTGTTGTTGATAACGTTGGAATTTCTTCCATCTTGACTGCTTTCTCCATCAATCGCCATCAGCAAGATATAGATCAACAAACAGATTGTGAAATATGAATTGACGAACAAAATCAAATTCACAAGAACACAGATCGTGAAATACGAATTGACAAAAAAATCAAATTCGTAGGGAGATAGCAACAGCGACAATAGAAATCGCTAAAAAATAAAAGAGATGAAGAATCGGCAATCAAGATCCAGTATAAACTGTCTCTGATACCATGAAAACAAAAAAATTCTGTGACTATTGTCACAAGACCAATCATACTAGGGAATTTTGCTGGAAGCTAAAGAAGAGTAGAAACACATATGTCAGGGGACAAGAAAATAATAAGTTTGCTGCAAATGTTGAAGAGGTTCATGAAGTTGCTGATGAAACACCTTTGGAAACTGGCAGCAAGGCTATGGATCCTGGAATGATACAAGTTGTGGTGCAAGAAGTCATGAAGGCAATGACTGGAAAGAATCCATCTCAACAATATGGTATGACAACAAATCCATCAATGAACTTTGCAGGTATGGCTCATGCTTTGCATACTAAGACTGTCACAACAAATTCAAAAGTTTGCACCTGGATTGTTGATACAGGAGCATCTGATCATATGACCTTTGATTCTAGTATTTTTTCCATTACTAAGAATCTTGAGAAACCTATTAAGGTAGGTCTGCCAGATGGTAGTATTAAGTCAGTTATAATGATTGGAGATGTTAACTTGACTGATGAAATTATATTGAAAGATGTTTTGTTCTTACCTGGCTTCCAACACAATTTATTATCTGTTGGAAAACTTTTGGATGACACTGGATATAGTGTTATTTTTGACAAGCATAACTGTGTTCTTCAGGACCCTATCAGTAAGAAAGCAACACAATTGGGAGGAAGAAGAAATGGAGTATATGAGATTTGCTTCGGAAGGAATAGTAGTAAAATGTCATTGAACAATAATAGTTCATGTCATACTGCTTTGGTTGCTTCTAATAAAGCTGATGTACACTTGTTTCATGCTAGATTAGGACATAGTTCTCTGTCTAAGCTGAAATATGTACAGAACAATAATGATTTCAATAAAGTTTCTGATTTGGAATGTGAAGCTTGTATTTTAGCCAAACAACATAAACAACCTTTTGTTGTTAGCAAATCTCTTGCAGAAAAACCTTTTGAACTTGTTCACATTGATCTTTGGGGACCATATAGATTCAAATCTGTCACTGGAGCATCTTATTTTTTAACCATTTTAGATGATCACTCAAGAGTTACTTGGACAACATTGTTGAAGGACAAAACAATGGTTTATCCTACTTTGGCTAATTTTTTTACTTATGTTGAAACTCATTTCAATACAAAAGTAAAAAATATCAGAAGTGACAATGGAACAGAAATTGTTCAAAAGGAATGTGGAAGATTGTTTGCTGAAAAAGGAATCTTACATCAAAGAAGTATAGCAGGAAATCCACAACAAAATGGTAGAGTTGAACGCAAACACAGGCACTTGTTAGAGACTGCTAGAGCTCTTAGAATACATGCTGGTTTGCCTAAAAAGTTCTGGGGAGAATTGATCCTTTCTGCTACACATTTGATTAATTTGATGCCTTCATCAGTTTTAAACTTCAAGGTTCCTACTGAAATCTTATTTGGAAAATGTCCTGACTACTCTTACTTGAGAGTAATTGGATGCTTGTGTTATGCTGCTCACAAGACGGCTGATAAATTTGAGCCAAGAAGCTTAAGATGTATTCTGTTGGGATATCCTTATGGTCAAAAAGGTTATAAGTTGTATGACCTTGATAATCACAGAATATTCAGTAGCAGAGATGTTATTTTTAAGGAGCAAATGTTTCCTTTTAAACAAAATTTGCAACTTCAAAATTCTGAAGCATACACACCCTGGGCTTCATTACAAGATTCTGATATGGATTACACACATACTGATACTGATCCAAAACAGAATGTTCAAGTTCAGAATGACTCAAATTCGACTGACAGTATGATTTGGGATTCTCATCAAGGTGATGCATCTCAAGAAGATGTCCACACCATTTCTCAAAATAGGATGATTGAGATGAATAGACCTAAGAGAGTCAGACAACAATCTGTTAAGCTTCAGAATTATATATGCAAAGGATTACCTCCATCTCTGGTTGTTCCATCTTCAACAAATTCAGAATATATTGGATCTTCAGGATCTTTTGAGAAAGCTTTCTCTGCTCTTTATGCTAATCACCTTGAGAATTTAAGTGACGAGTATATCAGTTCACTGAATAATGTCTTACAAATTTATGAACCTACAAGTTATCATCAAGCAAAAAATGATGATAGATGGGTTAAAGCCATAGATATGGAAATTGAAGCGTTGGAGAAAAATAACACCTGGAATCTGGTACAATTACCTCCAGGAAAGAAAACAATTGGAAGCAAGTGGGTTTTTAAAATCAAATTCAGGCCAGATGGAAATATTGAGAGATTTAAAGCCAGGTTAGTGGCAAAAGGCTTTAATCAAATCAAAGGAAAGGACTACAAGCATACATTTAGTCCTGTGGCCAAGTTCACTAGTGTCAGAACACTCATTGCCATAGCAGCAAAGTATGACATGAAATTACATCAATTGGACATTAGTAATGCATTTTTACATGGATTTCTTGATGAAGAAGTCTACATGGATGTCCCAGAAGGATATAAAGGAGCAAAACCTGGTGAAGTATGCCTATTAAAAAGGTCCCTTTATGGACTTAAACAGGCATCAAGACAATGGAATATTGAACTTTCAAAGTTCCTAAGAAAACATGGATATTGTCAATCCAAGAATGATTATTCCTTGTTTACTAAAGCTGATGACAATGGATCATTTGTAGCCATTTTGGTCTACGTAGATGACTTAATGATCACTGGAAATAATGAAGAAGAAATCAGCAAAATCAAGAAGTTGCTAGATGAAGCATTCACCATAAAAGATTTAGGTGAATTAAGATACTTCCTGGGTATTGAAGTAGCAAGATCAAAGGAAGGAATCATTTTAAACCAAAGGAAATACATTCTTGATATTCTTAAGGATACTCATATGGAAGAATGTAAACCTGCAAATTTTCCTCTTCCTACAGGACTCAGATTATCTACAGAAGAAGGGGAGATAATGTCAGATCCTGAAGTATACAGAAGATTGATTGGAAGATTACTTTATCTCAACCTCACAAGTCTGATATATCATACTCTGTACAACAACTTAGTCAATTTCTCAGTGTACCTCGGATTACACATTTAAATGCAGCACTACATTTGGTGAGATACTTGAAAGGAAGTTTCAACTTAGGATTGTTTTATTCAGCAGATCCTAATACTAACCTCACATGCTATTGTGATGCTGATTGGGGTACATGTCCTTTCACAGCTAGATCATTATCTGGTTATTGTATTTTCTTGGGAAATTCCTTAATTTCCTGGAAAACAAAGAAGCAGAAAACAGTTAGCAAATCTACTGCAGAAGCTGAATATAGAAGTATGAGTTTTGCAGCATCTGAAATTGTTTGGATAGAAAGGCTTCTTAAGGATTTTGGAACTCAAGTATCTTGGCCAGTCACATTATACTGTGATAATAAAGCAGCACAACAGATAGCTCAAAATCCTGTACTACATGAAAGAACAAAACATCTACGGATTGATTGTCATTATGTAAGGGAATGCATTCATGAAGGGCTCATAAAGACAGAACATGTACCAAGCAGTTATCAAATAGCAGATGTTATGACCAAAGCATTAAGTGAGAAACAACATTTGCAGTTTGTGGTCAAGCTGGGACTTGTGAATAAACTACCAAATCCAGCTTGAGGGGGGACTGTAGAAAATACAAAGAAAGTCAACTTGATGAGCAGGACTAATGTTTGTTAGAATAGTCAAATCTGTTTGTAATAATTAGTTTCATTCTGTTAGTCAGCTCATGTATAAATATCTTTCATGAACTTTGTAATGGAATAACTCTCTCGAATGAATACTCTCTTTCTCTTCTCTCAGATTACTCATGTACTCACAAAGCTTCTTTAATGGCAGATATGCTTAGTTTCTTCATAGCTTATGAAAGTCATCGGTCAACTCCTTTAGCTTCTTCCTCAACCCATTCATCATGCTGCATTCGGCCCACCGGAGTTCCTTCCTTGCACCGGACAATCGCTGGTACATCGCATTGGACTCGTCCATCTTCCCAGACCTGATGTGATCTCCTGGCCTTCTTCAGGATCGCCAATATGTCGGCGTTTATCCTGTCCCGCAACTATTAGAGAACTTCGGGCTTGTGCCGGATTTCTATTTTCCCCCTGTTGTGACAATCTTCTGCAAACGATTCCTCCTCCGCCAAGTCCGAGGAAGGAACACACTCTCCTCTTGTTCGTGACAGATGCTTGTGGTGTTCTTCTTGAATGAAGAGTTGGTACACTCTTCTTAATGAAGGGAGTTCTTTACTCAAAATATTGGAACGTAGTTCCAAGTAGTTCCAACTTCCAATAATGTGGCCGTCAAGTCCGAAGATGGAACTCTGGCTTTGTTCTGGTCCGCAGCTTCCAGAGCTTCAAAGCAATGAGAGGAAAATATCAAAAGGCGACATTCTATGTACTTTTAATTGAACGGGGGCTGTAAATTGTAAAAAAGTGACTTTATTTAGAATTTCCCAAATATAAATGGATGTGAGTAGAATTTCTCTTTAATATTTATGGGAAAAATAATAAAAATACCCCAAACTTTGAAAGGGTGTGAGGTAAGCACCCCAAACTTGCATATGTAATTTAAATACCCCAAACTTTATATATAAAGTTATTTTCACACCATTGTCATGTACTCCCTCCGTATCAAATTAATTGACCCGTTTGCTTTTCACGCAGATTAAGACAATTACTGTAGACTTTATTAAAAGTAAGAGGTTTTTGGAACTGTAGCGACACTGTAGCAGTACTGTAGCAGTACTGTAGCTGCTTTTTGAGTGGGATTCTTTCCAAAAAGGGAAACGAGTCAATTAAATTGATACACCAAAAAAGGAAAGTGGGTCAAGTAATTTGATACGGAGGGAGTATTATTTATTTCAAAAATAAAATTCTATGGAGTTAATTGCATAATTCAAAATAGCAAATTAAAAATGTTGCAATTATATGGATTGTGGAATTATATGGGGGGTAACATTATTTATTTCGCAATGGAAGTTAGAATGTTAATTGTGTCTTCAAGAATTCTAAAATATTTTAAAATTTGCAATTAACACCATAAGTTTACATTTTTGAAAGAAATAATATTTGACTATGGTGTTAAAATAACTTTTTATATAAAGTTTGAGATATTTAAATTACATATGCAAGTTTAGGGTGTTCATCTCACACCCCTTTAAAGTTTGGGGTATTTTTATTATTTTTCTCAATATTTATTGATAGGAGCAACTTCTAACCCAATAATAATGGGCGGACAGATTATTGAGGCTGGCCTAGCGACCATGACTCCATGAGGCCATGATACGCTCGCTTTACCTTAAAAGGTTCAAATATGGGCTAGCGACCCATGATTCCTGTTTAAATACTTCGTATATTTTTCCAGCATGCTTTACCTTAAAAGGTTCAAACAAATTATAATTATAATAATCACAATAAGTTGCATAATAAAATTGGTGCAATTCAGCTATCAAAAAATATTTGGTGCAATTCAGTGTAAAATTAGATTCAATCGTATTTATGGTTAACCAAGATTTTGATATAAGAAGATGGACACATGAATCTATGGCGTGGAGGGTGGAAGTGAGGATACTCAGGATAGAGTTACTATAGTTCTAAGATGTTAATATAAAAATTTAATTTTGAAAAAAAGAGGAAAATTAACGTATAAAATTTTAAAAAAATGGGACAATTGTTGTAGGACAAAACAAAAAGAAAGGATGAGACAATCTTTGTGCGATGAAGAGAGTATATAATATTTCTTATATTTAATTCTATTATCTTCGGAGTATATTTTAATGGAAAGTATGTGTACATTGTTGCATCAGAGTATTATACTGGAAAAGCTTGAATACTACATAGTGATTCTCATTTAGTAAAGACATACTAAAGTTGGAGAATTGCATGAATAATGTTACTGAGATATTTGGGAGATGAATTTATGAAGGTTGAAGCTCATTATCATTCTGTTTTACTATCAATAAATTTTTATCGTTTTCTCCATCAACCACTGTAAAAAAATTTACTCTACTATCCTCAGATAACAATAAAAATACATCAATCACCAAAATTTACTATACACTACAATAATATTTACTTATAATAAAAAATTACTTTTGGGATTAAATTCAAAATATTATATACATAAATTCTATTAATTTTACACAAAGGGGTTGTCCCCAACATAAAATTTGAAGGATTTTTGAAGACTTATAGAGAAAATGGGTGTTAATTGAAATCCACACTTTTTGAACGGAGTTTTATAAAATCCGTGAGTGTATGAATTTCTGAAAGTTGTTGGCCGAATTTTGAGAAACATGTATGTAATTCTGTTTTAGATTAGAAATTCAAGAATTCACAAAAAATCCATTATTTAGGAGCATTCATAATAAACTATCAAAACTGAGGATATTTTAGTGAAACACGATAATCTCTTAGTTGGAACTTAGAATCCTTGAAAATTTGAAAATCAATAAGATTCCTGTATGAGGATCTTATTTTAGTGTATCAAACAATGCATCCTAAATGAGTTAATACAGCCAAAAAAACCTAACAAGCAACCTCCATATGGACGTTAATACTCAATTTTATTCCAGGTGCTCTAGTTTATCAATTCTTTACAAATAAGCGTGACTCGGATGCTTGTTCAAAAAAGTGAAAAAGGCAGTAGCCTTTATTTTGATGCGTCATAATGCTAAAAAAGTTCCAAAATTTTATGCCATGGCTAAGATTGGGTTCGTTTTGTAACTTTAAATTGCATTACCCCGACCACATTTTTTTTTGCATTGACAAAAATGTGAAATCGGCGTAGAAACTTTAACATCTAAGTTTCAGAAACCAACCTATAGCTTTCTCCTTTGCAGCAAACAATCTTTAATCCCGAGGCAGCCAAACACTGTGACACATCTCGAACCTTAAATCCACTTTTTTACATCATTCCTACGTGCAATGATGTAGTCAATGGTCAGCCACCCACAACTTTTAAAATAATTATTTAAACAGTAATGGAATAAGGTTATTTCAGCATATTTTAAAAAGTAATTTTGAACGATATATAACAGAGAGAACTACCAAATAAGCTCTCGAACTTATATAAAAAGTGCAAATCACCCTTTATATAAGGGCCTTTGTCCGGTCGTCGCTATTTGGGATGGTACCCAGTGGAATTTTTTGATGATTTTTTTTGAACATCTTATTCATTAAGTCTAGTTTACTCATACCAAATTTCAACTAAAAATTCAACCGGAAAGGCGGTCAAATGATTTTCTGAAGTATACGGCGCTGTTTAACTGTGCAGTCATCTTAAAAAATTCATTTGACTGCCTCCCCGATTGAAATTTTAGCTGAAATTTGGTATGAGTAAACTAGACTTAATGAATAAGATGCTCAAAAAATTTCATCAAAAAATTCCACCGAAAACCGCCGCACATGGCGACGGCCGGATAAAGCCTCCGATAAAAGGGGTGATTTGCACTTTTATGTAAGTTCGAAGGTTTATTGGGTAGTTTTTCCATATATAATACAATGAGGCCGATGTCGACAAATGTGATATTATGAATGTATTATTTTTAATAGTTGATGAGTAAATTGTAACGAAAAGTTCAAATTATTTCTTAATATAGAAATGAAAACTTTTAACAGGAACATCCAAGTGAGACAAGGGAGCTGGGACATTTCTCTTTCTTTAGCAAATTTAGTCCCATATTTATATATTAATCGATTAAGTCCGCAAAATCATATTTAATAATTAATATGTTGGGTAAGGAAATTGATTTATTTAAAGAGTAACAAAAGGGCTTTATGATTGATAACCGGGAAAGTGTGGCGGAATGGAAGAATAATAAACTTCCATAAAAAGAGTTTATAGAAGACAAAATCTGAGGCAATGGGGAAAGGGTAGCTAATATTTCTGGATAAGCTAAGCCGGCAAGGCAATCCTTGTTGAAAAAATAAATAAAGTATGAAGGTTTTAACTTTTCGGCTAGCATTCACATTTATATAAAGAATGGAAACGGATTTAGGCCAGAATAATTTGGGAGCAGCAAGGAATGTAAGTGTCTGAAAGAGTCTGCAAGGAAGAAGTGCAGAGAAATCCATGCCATGGCTGGTTTCAATTTGTCAAAATCCCACCCCCCTAATTTCACCCTCTTATCTTTCTTCTTCCTTCTTCTTCAAGCTTACTCCCCCATCTAAAATTCTTTTCCATCTTCATCATTTTCACCACCATTTATAAGAAGAGGTTATTCTCACCATCAGGAAATCACCACTATTGCATTTGCATACAGTAAAAAAGTATCACATTTCCCAGGCTTTGCAGCTTCCTCCAATTCTCCAAAGAGGGAGTGCACTACAGGGCAAGACATCTAGGGTTCTTACTTCCATTTGGAAGTCCTTCTCCACAAGCAAACAAATAACAAAAAAGAAGTAAAATTGATTACCTTCCATAATAAAGCTATCAACGGCATAATTCTTTCTCTTCCCCTCTATGATGCTTCCCGCCAAAGCTAGCCAGGCCTTCTTGCTCTGTATCTTTTCTCTCTGCCCTTCCCTGATCAGCGCCACCTTCAACCTCACCCTCCCACACCAACACCCCTATCCTGAGGTGGTGGCTCAAGAAGTTCAAAGGTAATTCAAAAGCATTTTGATTACGCTTTAACAAATCTGGATTTCGCTCATTATAAGAACGGAGAATGCTTGGTGTACACCATTCACACCTACAAAATTATCTGTATACAAACAATTTTGTCTCACAAAATGTGCGAATGATGTACACAGATCATTTTTCTAAGAACACTGTACTTTTCAAATGACAGCTGAATCCGCAGCCATTTTTGTTCATCTATATACTTCTGCATTTCTAGTTTTTGTAGTTTTTCCAAATCATATGTCAATTTCTCATCAGTGAAATTGTACTCGAATTGGGACCTACTGCAGTCCTATCCAGTTTACTAATCCATTCCGTTAAATTCCATACGCATTTAATCAAACAGTTTGTGTGCTATGTACAGGAGAGTTAATGAATCTGTGACGAGGAGAAGACTATTGGCAGGGACGACAGAGAAAGACGAATGCCTTACCGGAAACCCGATCGACGACTGCTGGAAGTGCGACCCTGACTGGTCAAACAACCGCCAGAAACTGGCGGACTGCGCGATAGGGTTCGGCGTAGGCGCGATGGGCGGAAAAGGGGGGAAATTCTACCTGGTCTCCGACTCGTCGGATCTAGACGTCATGAACCCGAAACAGGGGACTCTCCGTCACGCGGTGATCCAAACGGAGCCGCTTTGGATCGTATTCTCAGCGGACATGACGATCAACCTGAAACACGAGCTGATCTTCAACAGCTACAAGACGGTCGACGGCCGCGGCGCGAACGTGCACATCACCGGAAACGGCTGCATAACTATACAGTACATCACCAACGTGATCATCCACAACGTCCACATATACCACTGCCTTCCGTCGGGGAACGTTCAAATACGGTCGAGTCCGACGCACGTCGGGTGGAGGGGGAGATCGGACGGCGACGGCATATCCATATTCAGCTCGACGAAAATCTGGATTGACCACTGCGATCTGTCGAACTGCACGGATGGGCTGATCGACGTGATAATGGGGTCCACCGCGATCACCATCTCCAATAGCTACTTTACCCACCACGACGAGGTCATGCTGCTGGGTCACGTTGATGGGAACGTGCCCGACTCCGGAATGCAGGTTAGCCTTTCTTTTTTGAAAGTTTACTTTTTCACTCAAAAATGTACTTTTTCATGCCATTCTCTGAAACTTTAAAAAGGTAGTTGGCCGTTATGTCAAAAAATTTAAATAGAGGTTTTTATTCTCATTCTACTGTCATTCACTAAATTAGAATTATAATTTGTCTAATACGGAGTATTTATTTTAACAAATATCATACATATTTTTAAAAAAAATCCACTCCCCAATATTACTATGTTCTTTCAATTTTTGATGAAATGGTGATTAAAATAGAGCCAATGATAAAAATGTGAAATTTTCTACGCAACGATGATAATAATTTTTTTTATTATGATTATATTCATATACACACACGTTATGACCGCAATGACATCCTGATAGTAAATTTGGACTTAAGAAAAAACTTATGTTTTGATATGCATGGTTCTTCAACTACACAACTCAAGTTTAAAGGATGGCATAATTTTCATACTACCTCCGTTCCAGGGACAAGTTCTCACTTTCCTTTTTTGGTAGTCCCAACAAAAAGTTTCTATTTTCCTAAATGGAAAGTTATCCTACATCAAAACAGTGCAAAACAGTGTCAAACAGTGTCGAAACAGTGCCAAACAGTGTCGAAACAGTGCCAAACAGTAAAATTTACCCCTCAGTAACTTTATTTCATTAATATGTGTGAAAGTCAACCCGAGAACTTCTCCCTGTGACGGAGGGAGTAATATTTTGAGACTAATGTAATTACGTTCTCCGGATAAGTCAATCAATCATATCCTAGGGCTAATCGAGCATTCCAGCCCAGCTGGTTGTAAGGTTACCGTGTCTAGTGAGAGGTTTCGAGTTCGAAACCCGCTAGGCACATAAGGGTTCGAAACTCAGTGGAGTGAGTTTCAACCATGATTACTCCAGGCCCCCCAACCCCCCTCCCCAGCCCCCCTAGAGTAAAAAAAAACCTAGAGCTAATGAATATTTGGATTCGCTGCATGTGGGAATCTTATTCGGTTTACCAAGCTAAAAGGTTGTAAACGCCTAGCCCACACGATTGGGTGCAAATGTGCAGTCTTACGTATTAAGAAAAGAAAAAAGAAGTTCAGATTTGATATACATAATTGCGACTATTTAAGCGCTATTACTAAAGGAAATTACTAACACACAAAAAATGATAATGACATATTTAATCTTAATAAAAGATTAAAACCAGACAATTTCTAATTAGATCGACCTATTTTATGAAAATCATAATGATTGTCGTCTTTAAAAATATACTCTCCATCCCTAAAAACTTTGTCATCTTTGAATTTTTTGATCAATCAAGTTCAACTTTGACCAATTATATACTTTATAGAAAATTATTTATAATATAAAAATGATATGTGTATATTCTTTCTCAAAAGTACTTCCATAATAGTATAATATTTATATTTTGAAATATTACACTAATCACAATTGTAGTCTAAATTCTTGAAAAGTAAAAGATGACAAAATTTTAAGGGACAAAAGTAGTACTTTTTTATACGGAGTATTATACTAGTGTATATAGTTCTATATATTTAGGAGTTACCTAAAAAGACATTCACACCATTGCATTTTTATTTGTATATTTGTTGAGGTATATAAAAATGTGTTTATTTGCAACAATAAAAATGTTGTTTAAAAGCCCGTTTTATGACATCCGGTTGAATGTAGTGATATAACTTAAATTATGGCTAGATATGTGTGGAATTGAGATTTTTTTTTTTGAATAAAATATGGAGTATTCATTCAATAGATTAATTGAAATGCATAGGGAAAAAGTTAAAAAATATCTTCACCAAATATCTTCACCGGTTTTTTTGGCTGATTCTGCTGAAATTAATGAAGTTCTAGCTGAAGTGGCTGCATTGGCTGATTCTACCAATTTAAGAAAAAATTATTTTTAAAATATTGATAGTATTTTGTAAATAAAATAAAGAAAAAATTATATGTAAAAATAATTAAAATGGTCATCTACAGTAACTTCAGCCAATACAGCCAAAAAAGTAACTTCAACCTTACTTTTTCTGCTTATTACACAATTCAGCGGGCGAAAGGAAAAGTCATGTGTTTGGTGAAAATGTTGGCTGATAAGCCTGATAAGCCGAAAAACAGTTTTGCCCCCCTCTTATTGATTGTTTCACAATTCAATGTGCTAAGTAAGAATTTAGGCGTTGATAGAAAAGTGATCTGAACTTATAAAGGCCATTTAGATATAATTTGATGTCAAAGTCTATCTACCTATATGTGGAGAAATATACTCGTACTTTATATGAAGGGGTGTGTGGATGGAGTGACTAATTTTAGCATTGAAGGTGACAATAGCGTTCAATCACTTTGGGGAAGGATGCGTGCAAAGAATGCCAAGGTGCCGAAGAGGATACATTCACGTGGTCAACAATGACTATACCGAGTGGCAAATGTATGCCATCGGCGGTAGCGATCACCCCACCATCAACAGCCAAGGCAACCGCTATGTTGCACCCCTTGACGTTAACGCAAAAGAGGTACATACGGTACTTAATTATGTATGTAGTCTATGGTATTAGATTTTTTAGTATCGTAATTTATGTTGGTTTCAGTTATTACTTGCATAGTCTATGTTGGTTCTATAACTATTAAATGTATTCATTTGTAAGGACTTTTTTCACTGAATTGTACAATTTCAGTCCGGTGCTTTTACTGAAATTTGTTCCTTCTAGTGAAAAATTCTCAATTACATGCATGACATGATCTGCAAGTAATTACACGGTATATACGAGACTAGCTCAGCAAATATCCTTATATGCTCACGTATATCTTCTAGATTTTTACTACCTCCGTAACGTTAGAATCTTCCCGGTTTGACTTTTTTGGGTCAAACTTTATGAACTTTGACCATTATTTATTCAAAACTCACATTATGTTATGATTAAAAATTTATTTTATATAACTCATTGTAAAACATATTATTTGAATGTTAATTTATTATGAATTTTATAAATATAGATATGTAGATATTTGCAGTCAAAGTTCAACTTAGAAGACCGTGAAAAGTCAAAATGGGAAGATCTTTATGTTACGGAGGGAGTAGTGTATAGTATTTGGTACTGATATGGCGATATTTTAAACATTATACACCGTATTGAAGTAGATTTGATTTTTCATTTTAATTTTTTCCTTTCTGATTTTATATGACCTTCTTCTAAACTATTAGTACCAAATGCATTGAAAGTAGAGTTGTTAACTTGTTATGCGAGACAAGGTCAGCTTGAACTCGACTCATAGAGCTTGAGTTTGACTCAATTATTTAAGAATAGTCGAGCTCAAACTCCGTGTGCTACTCGATTAGATTCATGAGCCAACCCAACTTGACTCGATAGGCCCGATAAGGCTCATGGTGGGCTTATGAATAGGAGATAAATGACCTTCCACAACACACCTTCAATAGATTTACAAGGTTATTTTTGAGGTCGAGCTTATTAGGTATCTTAACCAATCGAGTACAAACTTTAAATGACACTAAACTAGCTGACTTCGAGCATCGATCCAGGATAAATTAATTCTTAACGAGCTCGAGCTCTAGCTAGCCAGGATCGAAGTATGCTCGAGCCGTGTTCGAACTTGTGAAACCCCTCAACCCGAGTTCGATCGAACTTGTGAAACCCGCTTCAATTCTTCCCATACTTTTCCCTTTCTTTTAACCTGGCTCATGGTTGTTTTTAATTTCCATGAGGTAATTACAGAAAAGACTCGCAGAACATAATGGTATTCTTTTATATTTATTCTTTGTCAAGAGAACTACCATTCACCAATCCATCGACGATTAGGATAACCGTGATATAATTAAATATCAAACCGCGCGTAGATATTGACTATGATCCTTGATTAACGCCTCCATCAACTCGATCTCTCTATCAATATTCTTCGTGATTAATTAGCTATCTTAATCTACAAGATAATATTCTTCTGACGATTGCTGTACGAAAAATTCAAAGTGGACAAAATGAGGAATATAATCCGAATATTAGAAATTCACATAAGGACGATATATGCCTTGGTTCCTTAAAACTACTCCTTTGTGATGATGCTTAATGTCGACAAAAAGAGAACTCGATCGGGTTTTAAACGTAACGTAATCTTTCTAAGTTTCTTTTCTCTTTTTCAAATTTTTGTTTTGTTTCACTCCATATTATATAATAAACCAGGGTCTTATGTAGTCTCTCCCTCCCTATTTAAAAGTGTTTTTTTAATTACACACAATTTTAAGAATATTGCACTCTTTGACATTGTTTGGACACTGTTTGATACAGTTTTAAGAGACGAATCGAAAATGAAAGCAAGATATCTATTTTGGGACGGAGGGAGTACTACGTAATATACACCTATCATTTTTCGAATTTATACTCCATATCTTTTTATCCACGTCACCATTTGTTCTTTTTATTTCTTTACAAAAATACCAACAAATTCAATTACACCATCATCTCGAAAAGATTTGTCTCTTTTGTTAGTGTAAACTTTGAATAATGATTTTAATTATTACATAATATATTATATGTAAGTAACAAGATAGAGATAAACAATTCGAGCTACTCTTCCATTTACATGTGTCCGCTTCCTCCATTTCAAAATAGTGTTTGCGTTGGATTTGCTATGCTTAAGGATGTTGTTTTCTTTTGGACTGAAATTTGATGGTCTGGTCTGGTCTGGTCTAGTCTGGTCTCTGTGTATTTTCTAACTACAGAAGTCTGGTCTGGTCTGGTCTGGTCTGATCTGGTCTGGTCTGGGACTGAAAACAGTCCAAAAGAAAACATTCTAATTGGGAATAAAGGTAATTTATAATACTTATATACTTAGAAACACTACTAAGACCTATAATTCTACATTTCTACATTAAGGATGTTTTCATTTGGACTGTTTATAGTCGAGACCAGACGAGAACAGATCAGACCAGATCGAATCAGATCAGATTAGACTTCCATATGTACTCCGTATAAAATACACAAAAATCAGACATTTAACAGACCAGACCAATTCAAACCAGACCAGATCAATAAGTTTCAGTCCAAAAAACATCCTAACTACCAAAAAACTCTTTTGACTATGAGAAGAAAACTCTTTTGACCATGAGGAGTATTGAAGTAATACACAAAATTAATTAGTGAATAAAAGATATGAGTCGACCGCTTAATCGTGCACGATTTTGTAGAAGACAGTATTTGAGCATTGTGCAATACCCATTCACTCCCAGCTCTTTGATCACGACTCCGCGAAGTATGCAGACTAGAAGTCTGAAATAAAAGGCAGAAAAAATTTAACCAATTAATTAGGCCTTGTTAAGAAAAAAAAGTTAATGGATACATCTATGAATTACCACAATAAAGTTGAAACTAAAGAGGGTATTACCACAGTAATTAATGGAGGACTGCTTTTATACTTTACCTTTTTAATTTAATTGAAAACTTGTAATAAAGTGCTAGCTAATGCGATTCTTTTGTGAAATTGAAAGATATCAGATTGCTTAATAATTGATATAGACTTTGACATCAAATTATAGCTAAATGATTAATAAAAACGATTTGTGATATCATCTAACCAATCACTTAATTGATATGAATAGATGCACTCTCTTTTTCATTTTGAATAAATGCACTCTCATTACTAATTTACTACGTATAATATAGAATAGGGTAAGATATAAATCATGTAAGTCTAGTCTTTTAATTCATTTTAAAATGGACGTTGTTAGAGAGTGTGCAAATTTTAGAGGTGAACAACTTAAAAATAAATTTACAGGATAAAGAAAGAGACACTATATGTATAGAGACTCTAAGCATAATCAAATCTCTTAAATTTTTTTACTTGGATTATTTTAAGTTCCAAAACAGACAAGTCTAGAACATAGCAAATCAAAGAATAAATTCCACTTTTAGTTCCACGAGTTTCTGGTCAATTCCACATTTAGTCCACATCTTTCACTTTGTCAACTTTTGGTCTATGACTATTGTGTTTTTGCCCATAAATGGTCTTTCCGGCATTGTTTCCGATGATTAAAATTGCCAGGAAAGGACCACAAATGGTTAAGAAACATTAGTCAAGTACTAAAAGTGGACAAAGTGAAAGACGTGGACTAAAAGTGGAATTGACACAAAACTCGTAGGACCAAAAGTGGAATTACTTCGCAAATCAAATTAGATCAAACTTCCTTAATTACTTGATATGCAATAGTTACCACAATAGACCATATCGGAATTTTTATGTTCAATAAAAAACATTCTTACTTGATACTCTCTCCGTCCCTTATAACTTTGCCAACTTTCCTTTTTTGGATGTCCCATTAACTTTGCCACTTTCCCATTTAAGTAAAGAATTTGTGGTTCCAGTTAATTCTCTCTCCTCTGCACAAACCTCAACCACACGATTTTTACTTTATTAATCTTCGTGCCGGTCAAACTTAACAAAGTTATTAGGGACGGAGGGAGTATGCAATAGTGGTTTTTAAAACGTTACTAAATGTTATTAAATGATCCCTACTCATTAATTAATATAAGTGTTCACTTTTGTTTACGAATACCTACTCCTAATGTACCTCCGGGACATCCAATAAAATTGGAAGTTTTGGAACGCTATATATAAGATTAACATGATCCCTGCTCAAAGATGACACACAAGAAAACAACCCCGTATTAAATTAGTTATATATATATATTTTTCAAAACTTTTAATTTTCTGAGATTTTTGCAAGGAGGCTGAATTTGAGTTGATATAAGCTTTTTAAATGACATTGTGAAATATTTAAGTCAAAATTTTCTTCTCATTGTGATAATATTTTTCATCCCTTAATATATATTAGCTATACATTATGACATTTATCGCAAATTCTAAGTCATATTTATGTGAAATAGTTTGTCTTCGAAATAGCTAGTATATCTGACACGAAGATTAGATTAATGAATTTAATTTTGTTGAATGGGTGCATTGAAGGTGACAAAGCGGGTTGAGACAGACGAAACGGAGTGGCAAAAATGGGATTGGAGAACGGAGGGGGACATGTTGGTCAACGGAGCTTTCTTCGTTCCCTCCGGCGACGGTCTCAGCAACGAGTACACCAAGGCCTCCAGTTTCGACCCTCACTCCGTCCTTTTCATCGGCCAACTCACCGGTAACGCCGGCGTCCTCCCTGCACCTCCCACCAGGTTTGCTTCCTCTTTTCCGCTCCATATTTCGTTTCCCATGAGTCAATCCTACAAAATTCCATCATAAATAATAACTCACATTTTACAAATAATAATTCCTACTTGAAATGTATATAACAATGATCCCAGATAAAATTAGTTGTTGAACAAAAATGAATCGAGTGCTAACGGTGTTAATTTTTCTTTTAATTTTTTTAAATATAATGAAAGCGTTAATAATGTACTCGAGTTTAATCTTATTTCGATATATTATAAATTTAATTTAATCTTCAATAATTTTCATAAATATAATAGAAATATTTCAACACATACTCTATTCTTTATCAATATTTTGTTTAAATTCATTTTCATAATTCTTTATAATAGACATTTCAAAGTAATTAGTAATACTACATCATATCAAATATCAATACAACGTATTAGTTCAAAATTATACTTTAATGGATCAATTAGACCTTTGCCAAATCAGACAAGATTTAAATGGACTAGGACATATATACTTAAAAAATCAGATTGGATTATATCATACTAGAAATTTCAATCTTAGGGCTCATTTGATTCCACATTATAGTATACACACAAAATTGACTGCATGTAAAATTTAGAGATTGAAACAATCACTTTGCAGGAAAAATAGAAATATATAAAGACATTTATTTTTAGGTGAGTAATTTATTTTTTAATTGCATGCGGAGTCAGTGTAGTGCTATATAAAGACATTCAAAACATTCCACGTGTGAAATATTTTAAAAAGTGGCATACAATTCCATTAACAATCGAACCAAATTAAATAATGTAAATTATTTAGGATCCTACATGTTGCATGTGAAGTCATTATTTCACACTTAATTTGCCAAACGCACTAAGTGAAAGCATCTTTCTTTTGGTCGATTGCAAAATCACATTTCCTATATATAAAAAAAAAAACTTAACATATACTATCACTATACATTACCTTCACCTCAGATTAAGGTTTCCACTAAAAATTTATACGAATTTTTTGGCAATACCTAAATAATTCAATGTAATTTGAATGTATTTTGAGAAGTAATATGAAAGGATATATATATATATATTAGGGTAATTGTTTATAATTGTGATGTTAATGGTGCATTATTTTTATATTGATAATTAAATTTTTATATAAAAGTGTTGTTTATTCCTAAAATATAAAAGAAAATATATAAATGAAACGATTAAAAAAGATAGGTAAGCATCTCGATTTATTTAGGACGGAAATAGTACCTTGAAAAATGAAATGATATGTGATTTATTATATGCAAGTTACCAAGTACTAATATTCTCAAGGAATAACAGAACGCCTCTATCTTTTGTTAGCGGGACAACCATTGGCGGAAATAGTAACGGCAGTGGTCGAACAACAACGGGTGCTAACGGCAATGGCTATGTGAGGCCCACCACCAATACTGATCACCCAATCGGATGGTTCGATTATAACGGGGCTCCACGTGTCACATCCCCTCCTCCTATTGCAACGACCATTTTCTTCTTCCCTCTTCTACTTATTTTATACAATTTGTAGTAATCATCCACCAGTGTTTTAGGGATTGTTACCATAAAATTTAAGAAAAGAAAATGAAATTTTGTCCGGAATGGGACTCACCTTTTTGTACATATTTAGTATAATGCCCAGCTTGCATTCACACATGTAATATTAATTTATAATTATACTTGTAATTGTTATTTTTTTGTTCTATAAATAAATAGATTACAGCTCACACATGTAGTATTTTTTTTGGGCAGTTTGAGACCACTTTGTACACAGTTGGGCTGCTCATATATACAGCCGGGTTTTATTTTGATGGAGTCCATGGACCTCACATATTATACAAGTTGTTTTAATTAATTTTCGGAGTCAATAATTTAAGTGGTCTGTTAGTTTTTTTTTTAAATCAATTAATCAAACCCGAGATAAAATAATCTGCTGCACGTTGAAGGCCCAAATCAACACCCTTCATTGTCAAAATTAAAGGAAAGAGAATGCCTATGGGGCGTGTGGAAAATGGCATTTCATCTAAATATAGCAGTTTGATCATTTTTAGCGTTTTCAATGAGTGAAGACGCTTTTTTGTATGTAGTAGTTGTTCAACCATAGCGTTTTTGGACGAAATTGTTTAAATGGAAACACTGCAAATAGCAACGTTTGGATTAGCGTTTTGAAATAGGTCATTTCCTATTAATTGCGATAGCTAAATTATCAAATACGGAGTATCTTTTAACAAACTGTTAATTAATTTTCACTAGTCAAACTCGTTGATTGAATCAATTAACAATCCGTTAGCGTAATCCGCAATCCATTTATCACTAAATGTCAAACACACCCTACATGATAGTTGGTAAGTAATTCAGTTTGATGCTAATTAAAATTGCTATGGGGAGCAATAAAGAAATAATTACATAAATATGACCAAAATAAAGATGGTTTACAAAAATATGATTCATTTTCTAGAGTAATAATGAAATGATAGTAATTCATGTTCAAGTTTTGAACTTTAGTTACTACGGCACTACAGTGTAGTAATGAATAGTCATATTTATGTAAATAAGTTTTATTTTAGTAATATTCTCGTAAAAAACCCAGCAATAAAATATTAATAAGGTTTGGAAATGGTTTAGACTTTAGAGCAAGTCTTTTACTCTTTTTACCGGTCTTCAACAATTAAGAGTATTAATTCAGTTGAGCCCACCCGTATTAAAAATTAAGGTTTGGAGCGGGTCGCATTGATCTTGGCTCATATTATTTCTCTCCCCCAAAACATGGTCAAATTAATTTTGAAATATTGACTAAAATAAGACTATGGGCTATTGAATAGACAAAATGTAATCTTATTTTATAAAGGAAAAAAGAGACTAAATAGATTTGAACATACAAAATTACCCCTAACATAAATACTAAAACCAAAATCCTTGATACGAACCCGCCGTTCTGCTCAACTGGTCGATGATGGGTCCCTTCATCCCCACTCTCTTCCCATCCGTTCTTCCAAAATTTGGTGGCGATGGCGGAGAGCAGCAACAGTAGTGAGCGACGACATATGGCAGTGGCCAATCTTGCTAAGGATAGGTATGGGCGTTCGGCTAATTATAAGTTAGGCGTTGATCATGTTAGATGGTGACAATGACGAGCGATGTGAATCCACCTAGGGTTTGTTAGACAAAGGCAGCGGCAGGTAGTCGTCAAAGCCAAATGATGGAGAATTTATCTATTTTTTGTGTGTTAGCGGAGTTGGTGGGGGTTAGGCTAGGACTAGGGAGGGGTGGGTCTGGGCTGAGCAAGAGAGGGGTAGGAGTTGATGTGTGGTGGTGTCAAAGGGGCAGGGGACTGGGGTGATGCATGCAGGGGAGAGGGTTGGGTTAGGTAGGAGGTTGGGCGAGGCAAGGAGTTGGGGTGACGCGGGGGAGGGGGCAAGAGTATGGGGCAACATATAGGAGGAGGCTGCTGGAGGCAAGGGGTGGTGTCACGTGCCGGACCTATCCGGAGACGCCAACAACCGCCATACAGTCTAGTTAAGTCAACCACGGTTAAACTTACCCAAATCATACAAAGGACACGATTCAAGTTGCATATGAAAGCCAACTTCAAGGGATACAAATCATATGAAGCCACCATTGCGAAAATCTGATAGGAGCAAGGTGAAAACAGACGATGAAGTTAGATAAGCTCTGTTGCGATTTCAGAATGCCACCTTCCACCATTTTATTCATATCTCTTGATTGGATGATTCAAATCCAATTCGGCAATTGTGGTGGATAGAGGAATTCATCATATACAACTTTCGTGAAGGAAGCGTTGTCAAATTCGGAAGTTAAGTGGGCACGATCGTGTAATCAAAGTTAGGCACGATCGTGCGTGAAGAGAAAGCACCGCAGAGCTACTGCCAGTCAGGCACGATCATGCGTGGGGGGAGGCACGACTGTGCCTGCCCAAAACACGCGATTTTGCTCCGGAGGCACGGTCAAAGGCACGGTCGTGCCTGGCACCGTGCCTGCCTCAATCCCGATTTGAGCCAAATTTTGACTGTTTTCTATAAATAAGGCCTCCATACTCATATTTTGGGGTTACGAACATTACAGAGAGGCCTAGGGACGATTTTATCTGCGTTTTTACATTTGTTTACTCCAAGACCCTGTGATTATTTGTAAGTTCATCTTTTTAATTAATGACAATTAATTCTATTCTTCCCAATTGTGTTGATTCTTCAATTATGAATTGTGAGTAGTTTAATTAGGGATTTGGGGTTGTTGAAGGAGTTGATCATGATGTATGGCTAGATTCTTGATGGTTTAATTTCATAAATGCCGTTTAATCTGTGTTTGAATAATTTAATTGATATCTCTTGTAACCTAGACTGCAGCTAGAATTACAATTGCATGTAGAATAAATTAAGAGAGATCTAATTTGTTCTAGAACACATTCACACACACTTAATCGTTCGCCAAGAAATTAGTAACGATTAAGGGGCCGTAAGCTCGCTCGTCTTAGCAATAATTTAGGATCCTATCGCATGAGAGACCAGCCTGGTTCTCTAAATTATTGTATTCTACGCCGCGAGAGCGGTAAGAACTTAGTAATGATTAGCTAGGCTCAATTAAATTAATTTCATGTAATTAGGTCTGATCTGCCAGAAATCTGGTTACCCCGGAATCAATCCCTGTTCCCTTCGTCATTAATTAGAGAGAACCCATTTATTTTAATCGTTTAGTTGTAGTTTAATTTTCCTTTCCAATCATATCTCGCACGCCGCATTTATTTTATTTCTTTCTTTTAATCGCTGAATTTAATTAATTATTGGTTCCCTTTTGTCCGTCCCTGTGGAGACGATACTCGTACTTACACCACTATATTACGATCTATTTTAAGTGCGAGAAAACTCACATCAACAAGACTCTCAAATAGGGTGATAATATAATCTAGGCCGTAACCCTAAGTTACTCCATTTTAAATCATACATACTTATATAAAGTAAAGTAATTAGCCTATGTGTCCGTTTCGATTTAAACAACCCACTCCCACCGCCATGCGATAATTAACAATAAAGAATCATATGTAATGCCCAACAATAATGCATATGATGCACCTGTACATGTTGCCCATCAATAATGCATACAATGGCACTTCATTGTATTGCCCAACAATAATTTATTACTACAAAATCATATATCTTGCCCCAACAAAAATGCATATGATGCATCCGTATGTGTTGCCCAGCAATAATGCATACGCTATCACACCTCGCGTTACTAAAAAGCAATTCATCACAACACATTCATTAACACATCCTATGTCTACAAGTTGCCATAATAGTCAATCCACCTAGGGTCATGCCCAAGGACTGCCCATAGGTTGATTCAAGCTTCATACTCTACCAATTATCAATTTGGCCACCTTGAAGTACATTCAAACATAAATCATACAATCCAAACTCTGTGATCAATTCTATCAACAATTATTAACAATCTTTAGCTAGTAACTTAATACTACTAAGATTGTTTTTATCAAATTCAAGTATTCATATATGTGTATTCCACCATACCTAGGAATACCTGGCAAATACACTACTGGTCATTTTCAATATATAAATACATATCACATAATCCATTCACGAGAGTTCATTAATAGCTCAATTAAGACTACATCATTTATATAATTCCAATTCGTAGATGAATTCGTTCATAGGCAAGTATAACCATATTTTATCATACTTAAGGCATCATAATTGAAGAAAAATCATAATTTAGGAATTTAGGTAATCTCATGCTTGACCTACAAGTTATAAGCAATTAAATGTCGATCCTAACCTTAAATGAGCTCTAAACTGTCCTCTTTCAATCCAATGAACAAAACTCCGGTCAAGGAAGATTGAACACTGGTTTCTTGCTTACAAATGGTAGCTAGATGACCTCCTCCAAGTGATGGTCCGTCCTTTAGCAAAAGATATGAAAACAATCCCCTAGAAAGGGTGTTTTCCGGCGACTTCACCTCCTCTTGTGTTTATCCTTTCTCTTGGGGCTGTAAACTCTTCGCCTTCTTCAGAATTGCACCTTGTCTGAACGATCTTTTCACTAACTTTACAAAGAATCCTCAATCAACTAAATTGAATGAGTGATGCTCAAGATATAGGGTAAGCAATTCCAAGACTTGCACTGTGCGAGTTAGCTCGCTGCAATCCTCTCTACATCTCTCCTTTGTTTGTGTGAGCTCTTTTTCTTCTCCAAGACCAAGGATTTCGTATGGATGCTCCTAGACCTCTCTAACACCGCTCCCTAATGTTATCTAATTCCTATGGTGTGGAAATAAGGGCATGTGGGCAGGTTGGCCAAAATATCTCCTAATCATGTTAGAGGAGGGTCCCTTTGCTTGTACCAATTGTCTTGTGCAGCCCCCTGTTAATTCAGTCCACTCAAAATAATGGTTCAAACTTATTTTCTTTGTGTTGCAGGTACTCAAGTCACATGGGATGCTCCCCTATTGGTCCTAAATAATTTGGGAGTAAATAGCTACCAATACTTTCAAAAACGGAAGAATGAGTCCTATTATTTTGTCCTTTTGTCATGTGATGTCTTTTTGTACTCATTCGAATTTATTTAGACAAAGTCAACCTTTATATCATATTATTGGTCTGTAATATGTTTAGGATGGTCCCAACCACTATTCTAAAAATCGCTATAGGCACCCGACTAGTCCCTGCCTAGGCGCTAGGCGGTGGCCAGATGCCACGATTTTCCTAGACGCTCCGACTAATTGGTTTGACACCTAGTTGAATTAGTCGGCTGTCTAGGGTGCCTAGTTGCTCGCCCAGAGCGCCTAATCTCCGCCTAGGCCGGCGTCTAGATTCGCCGAACAATTTTTTATTTTTAAAATTTTATTTTGTAAGAGATAAATATACCGTACCTTTAACTTTAATCACAAAATGAAGAAGGATACATGTAAATTAAGATAAAAACTATATGTGTTTGTATAAATACTTAAATATTATTATTATTATTTACGTAGTAATATTATAACATAATGCAATTAATCATATATTATTGCATGTTACAATTCTATCATTCATGCATGTTAATGTGTGTGTACATATTTTTCATACACACAAACATGATACTACAGTTTTACTATTAGAAATTAACTCAAATAGGACTAAAAGTGAACTGAAATTCAAAAACAGGACCTTTCATGTTTTTATTCCCAAATAGGACCAATCTACTCCTATTTTGAAACATACTACAATTAGCATCCCATTTTTACCCTTTCACTTATTTACCCCTTTCTAGCAGCTTCTCTCTCCAAAAAACAATTCATCGTTGCTTTCTCCAGACGCGACCAAAGGAGCACCGCTGCCGCAGCTCACCTTCTCCCTTGCACGGATTTGCCGATTTCATCGCAGGCCACCTTCGCCGCACGCCACCTTCGGCGCCTCCGCCTTCATCTCCTCTCTCTTCTACGTCTTCATCGCCTCTACCTTCCACCATCATTGTCTTTATTTTCCTCTGAATTTCAGGTTTTTCACTTCTTCTTCTTCTCCTTCTCCTTCTCCTTCTCCTTCTCCTCCTTCTCCTTCTTTTGACTTTTAACATTGATTTTTCAGATTTTACTCATATTCTTCTGTTTTTATGAGATTTGGCATTCATCATTTGGCCGATTTTTGGACCTCTGTTTTGTATTTCTGATTCAGATTTTTACTTTAAAAAAAACCTTATTTGCTGGAATAATGGATGATGGCATAAGATTTTGCCAAATTTATGGCAGAAATGAGCGCACTGACAATCGATTATGGCAGAATAGATTTTGTGTAAATTGTTTTTTTAATTTTTTTGTCATTAGTTTCGTATTTGTGATTTTCGATTCTAATGAAGTGTTTATTATTTGAAAAAATTGATTTTTGAATGTTTGGTTGTTGAGTTCACGTGTTTGCCAAATTTATGGCAGTTTTGTGTTATTCTTCCAAGATAAATCTGCCAACAAAGTTGGCAGATTTAAGAGTCCATACAAATGGAAGATTTAAATTGATCTTGAAGACCAAATCTGCCAACTTAATGGCAGATTTATGGCATTCATGTCGTGGAGGTGATGGTGATGCTTGGAGTTGCAGTGGTGGCTTCTAGATCTAACTCTCATGGTTGTTTTGCTAAAAGGAAACAACACCGGTATGGTGGGGGCGGCGTCAGACATGGCAGTGGTGGTTGGGGCGACACCGGTGTGGGCGGCGGCAGCGGCTGTAACGACGGCGGTGACGGTAGTGGCGGCGCCAGTGACGGCGGCGACGACCAGCGGCAGGCGGCGCCGACCGGCGGAAGGCGGCGCTGACGAAGGCTTCAACAAGGGTGGCTGACGTGCTCCTGTTGAAATGTTAAAGTTTCATCAAACTCTGATTTTACATTTGTAATTATAAATTCAAATAAAAGTTGAATAAGGGCATTTTTGTACAACTAGGTGATTTTAAGTCTCATCAAACATAGTTTACACTTTAAGTCCTATTTAGGCAAACCGGTACACTTTTAGTCCTAGAAAGGTAATTAACTCTTTTACTATCTATTACTTATCATATTTATGCAAAAATATTCATAAAAATACAATTTATGTGTTTCCGACTAGTCTCCGCCTAGGCGCCTATACGCTAGGCGCTCGATTGACGCCCGACTGGTGCCTAGCGCCTTTTAGAGCATTGGCCCCAACAATTCATATGATGTACAATTATAGGAGAAGAACCTTACTTTCTTAATTTAGCTCAATAATTATGAAAGTAGGATCATAGGAGTTTCTTTTTGTCTCTAAGGATTTTCTAACTCCTTTGTTCGTATACATGAATGATTTCAGCCCTCCTAATATATATTTAGACGCTATAACACATGTGGGCTACCCTCAAATGTGTTCAGAGTATCCCTTTCCATTAAACTTGCTATTTTTAGCAAGTTGAGTCCAAAGTAATTCTTAAACTGCCCAACCATCCAAATGGCTCATGAACTCTTGTTTATATTATAGTGGACTCCTATAACTAATTAATGACCCAATTAAGTATTTGGAAATCCGTCCTTATAATACGGGCCTAATAAATAGTTTAATTAATCATTTATTAATTAAATCATTAATCATTTATTACATGATTAATAATACTCCGTAATAGAGAGTTCAAATACATGGAATAGATTTCAAATCAAAGTTTCAAGTACATTCAGGTGCTGTATCACAGCTGGATTGTGTCGTTTGCAGTGGTGGTCACTAGGAGTGGTGATCGGCGGCAATCATTATCAGAACCGAGTAACCATCTTACTATTTTAAATCTACAACTTTAACTTCTACGGATGTTGTTAACTGGATTGAAACTTCCTGGTCTGGCTTAATATGGTCTGATCTAGTCTGATTTATTTAAATATAGTCTCATGTGATTTGGTATATTTGTTCTATTTATATTCTACAATCATTAAAGGTTGGTCTGATCTAGTTTGATCTGATATGATCTAGTCTACTCCAATCTAGTTTGGGAGTGAAAGCAATTAAGAACATCTTAGATTCATTTTTCTTGAAGAAGGTAAAAGCAAAGCATAATTTCGGAGTTTTTACACACTTTGAATTCTTAATCTTTGTTTTGAGATTGGATTTAGGAGGAATGAGTAATATGTAAACATAAGATAAGCCGGCACTTCTTGATGAAAAGGAAAAAGTATGAATTGTTCGAACTTTTCATCCTTCGTGTTCACATGTATATAAAGAATTGAAGGAAAGAAAACATGATGAACCCAACCCAGAATAAAATGGGGGCAAGCAAGGAATGTAAATGGCTGAAGGAGTCTGCAAGGAAGAAGTGCATAGAAATCCATGACATGGATGCTGTCAATTTGTCAATTTTCCACCCTCCTAAATTTCACACTTCCACTCTCCCTCATTTCTTCTTCTTCAAATGTACTCCACCTCCTTCTATCCAATAAATAAAATTCTTTTTACACTGTCAAAATATGAATTGAATGAGATTAGTTTCATCATCAAGGAAAGTAATTACTATTATATACTGTAAGTAAGCATCAAAGTTTCCTAGATATTGCATTAAAGACAGGCAAGACATCTTACTTTGCATTAATATTAAGGTAGGGGCATATTTTATCTTTTCCACTGGCCAAAAAATTACTATAGCAACAAAAGTTAAAAACCTTCCATAATAACCGCATGGCATTCTGTCTTGTGATGATAATGATGATGATGCTTCCTGGCAGAGCTAGCTGTGCTTTTTTGATTCTTATCTGGTTATCTCTGTCTTCTTCCCTTGCCACCTTCAACCTCTCCCACCCTCATCAACACCCCTTTCCTGATATGGTAGCTCAAGAAGTTCAGAGGTAATTAAATTAAAAAGCTTTCTGATCAGGCTTTAAACAATCTGGATTTAGCACATTTTGAGTGTTTTGTGTTTTTTTTCGAACAACTTATGGTCTTATATACCATATACTTCTCTGCATTCCTATTTTTGCCCCAGTTGTTTGTGAACTTCCTTAAGGAGCGAGGGGTGTTTTTTTAAAAGAAAATGGCTTATATTAAGATCATACGGAGTATAATCCAACCCAACAACAAAACCAGACACAGTAGACAAAAATGAACGACAAGAAAACATTACTCGATCATACGCCTGCGAGAGGTGTTTATTAGCTAGATTTCTCTTGAAAAGATAGGGAAAAGATAAAAAAAACTCGTTTACTAATCCGTTATCCAATTTGTAAAACACAAAAACAAGAAGATATTTTTTAACTATCTACCTTTAAAAACCGCAAAATATATTTTCATGTTTAAAAATAGATGTTCAATCTCGGCCAGGTGTGGCTTGAGAGTTTCATCCAATATGGTGATTCCTCCACCATTCTAGTGTCGGGGTATGATAACGCTTGGGAGTTGGGACGGAGGATTCCACCTTTTAGGTTGAGTTAAAATACTTTCTGATAGGGGTGTACTATGTAGCACCGATACCGGTACGCGGAAACGCGGAAACGCGGAAACGGGTACGGGGATACGTCAAAACAAAAAAAGTAGGATACGGATACGAGGCCATATTTATAAATATTAAAAGTTATGGGGGTGTATTTACAAATATTAAAAGTTATAGGGGTCTATTTATAAATATTAAAAATAGATTTTTTTTTGAATATATATATATATATATATATATATATATATATATATATATATATATATATATATATATACATATAATATCCTATGATGTCTACCCATTCATTGCATTGAAGCATTTTCCTTTTTCAAGATACTTTAGTAATAAATTCATAATATTTCTCATATACACTAGTCATCTCGAAATATAAATATAGTCAATAAGTCATAAATTTAAAATGAGAAATAAGTCAAACACCTACAATCTTGAAATTAAAAGTGCAAGTATCCAATTCGGAGTATGAGTTAATGACTTAATTCGGATATAGCCATATAGGCCCATTATTTGATTACCAAGTAAATGTAGTTTTAGATTTTCATTTTTTTTTTAGAATTTTATTAAGTAAATTTTGGGATTTTTTTTAAAAGTTGATACGGGTATCCGTCAGGATACGAGTATCGGAAACTTTCAAAAAATTACAAAAAAATGGAAACTTTTAAAAATTGCAGATACGGCCCGGGAACGTACGTTACGAGTATCCTAGAGTATCGGATACGGGAACGTATCGGATACGCCGATACGCTACCCTAGCAAAGTATCCGTGCTTCATAGGGTGTGTATATTGATTCAGATGAGCCGAACCGTACCAAAACGAACTAACTCGAATCGAAACCGAAACATATGCCTTTGGTTTGAATTTGGTAGCATATCTTCCCAACTCTATTAAACCGAACCAAAACCGAAAAAATCGAATATAACCGAATCAAACTATAAAATTCAATAAATCCTTCATATATTGTTAATTAACAAATCCAAATCAAACTAAACTAAACCGAACTGAAGTTTAGTACAGAGTATGATTTTTGTTTGATACTCATTTCTCCTATCTATATCAAATCGAACTGAAATGGATATGTCCGTTCCTATTTCCTGATATGTAGCTCATAAACAAAGTACGACCTTCCATCTCAGATTTGTATGACCCTCGGGACCACTAATTCATGAGAACAATTTCTACTCTTCCACGGATCCACCATTAATCGTGACTTTGCCACAAGGTTATTTTAATTTTTTAGGGAAAGGTCATGTGCTAATTTAAAATTGTTAGTCCTTGCAGGGTAAAAAATGACAAAAGTTGTACAATACCAATTTATTTAAGTAAGTATATGATACAAATGTTACCATGTTCATATTTTCAAAGTAAAAAACTACAATTTAAAAAAAAAAGATTGTACACCTTTATATAATAAATTGAGGCTACAATTCTTACCGAAATGCTTCGTAAACACGCCGGTCAAATTATTCGTGTACAAACAATTTGACTGGCGTCTACAAATGACGCATACAAATAGCATTAATGCAAATTTATATACGTAGTAGAATGTTTTTGTACTAGCTCTGCTGGTGCCTTTGCCCCTAAGACCCTGACCACTTTCATTGACCATATACCATTTTATGAATTGGTCACCACACAATAATTATTCGGAAAAATAATTTTCCAAATTTTAAACTGAAATATAGAGTATAAAACTTGAAAAAGAAGGTGGACTTAGAGGACACCGGGTTTCTTAAAATGGGAGATACTATTTTATCAGGTACAAGTGGAGTACCCCGAAGGCATGAAGATTGTATTAGTGTATTACCATTCACCAAGACAAGATGATGCGCCGCAGATTTTGCCACCACTCGCATGATGCACAGCTGCCCAAGTTCGATTCACATTCGTGACAAAATACTTCTATAACGTTATGGAGTCCATTTGGTAATTTGAAATTGACTCAATGTATTGTAATTATAGAATTCTAGATGAGAAGTACCTATTCATTAAAAAGTTGACCGATAAGACTGACAAACTTAAAATAGGAGTTAACCTAGGTTATTGCAGGTTTAGTTTTTAATCAACCTCATTTGTTTATATTTTTGGAAAAATAATTAAGGTTGTTAGTAAATTTAGGTTCACTTCACATAACTTCCGAAAACTTGTGAAAACCCATATTAGAAGAACCTTCAAATTTGGGGGTATTGGAGGTTATGTCCTCGTATAAAAAAAATCTCATTCATTCCAATAATAACTCTTGTCACATTTCACTCAGCTCCCCTTATTCACACGATTATTCTCCCTCAAATTCCTTTTATTTACACGTTTATCTCCCGCCACATTCAATCACCCGCCAACTTCATAGCAGTATCAGACCAAGTTTGTGTCTTTCGGCCTCACTTCTCGGTTGTAGTCTCAATTGTAATTTACACATTCTTTATTTGTCAAGTAAACCTTTTTAATATTTATTATCATAAATAAGATCATTATGGCTTAGCCGAATCGATACTTCCACTACAACTACGTATTCAATTGTTGTTGTAGTCTCAATCACAAATTCATGATTCGTTGCTTTTACTTTCTTATACCAAAGCTCGCGTGGAGCGTTAACGATATCCATGCACTTATACATATGAAGGGTATAAATGTCATTAATGAGTTAGAGCACCTGCATCCAAACAATAATTTATTACACTAATCTAGGTTCACCTAAATTGTTTCCAAATGACATTTTACATTTTTTTTTTGCACAAATGACATTTTACATATGCACCTAGGTTACGTTCACCTAGTTTTTATCGAAACCTGAGTTTACTATGTTACCACTAGGTTTACTTGGATGTTTTCTTTTGGACTGTTTTCAGTCCCATACTAGACCAGACCAGACTTGACTTTCGTAGTTATAAAATACACAGAGACTAGACGTTTACCAGACCAGTTTAGACCAGATCAGACCAGACCGGACCAGCAAATTTCAGTCCACACTACCCAAAATAAGTCTCGAAATGTCAAACATGTTCAAGTCAAAAGCTTGAGAGTTTTGTGTAAAAATCTGGCAACAACAAAAAATTGAGTGTGTTACTCTACCACTAATATCATGTTTTAACTAATATCATATTTTAACTAAGATATTACTCTACCACTAATATCTTGTGTAATTTCCATTTTCATATACTCCCTACGTTCCCCAATTAAGTTTTCCCTTTTCTTTTTGGATAGTCTCTGAATTAAGTTCCCATTTCATTATTTGACAAATTAACTACATCAAAACAGTGCAAAATAGTGTTCAAACAGTATCAAAACAGTGTCAAAACATTAAAGTTTACCCCACAGTAAATTTTTTTCCTTAATAAATGTAAAAAGCAATGGGTAACTTAATTTATGTTTGCGATTGATCAAAATCTTTTAGGACTTGTTATTGTTGTATCATGTTGTGGCTAAGAATCTAATTAAACCCGGATTTAACAAGTTGGATTTGTTTGGCATTATACAAATTCCGACACAATTATTTTCGAGTAATTTTCTGGTAGCATCTTTTTTTGGATTTGGGACGTAATTTGACAAATAGTTGGTGCGCTGTAAACAGGAGACTTCACGAATCCGTGACGAGGAGAAGAGTCTTAGAGGCGACGACACAGACCCAGCCATGCCTTACCGGAAACCCCATAGATGACTGCTGGAAATGCGACCGCAACTGGGCAAACAACCGCCAGAGACTGGCGGATTGCGGCATTGGGTTCGGGAAAGCGGCGATCGGCGGTAAAGGGGGGCAATTCTACACCGTCTCCGACCCATCGGACAACCCCTCGAAGCCGACGCAGGGAACTCTCCGCCACGCTGTGATCCAGAACGAGCCGCTCTGGATCATATTCGCGGCCGACATGACCATCAAACTCAAAGCGCAGCTGGTCTTCAATAGCTTCAAGACCGTGGACGGTCGCGGAGCCGCCGTGCACGTCACCGGCAACGGCTGCATCACCATAAAAAATGCGACGAACATCATCATCCACAACATCTTCGTGCATGGCTGCCTTCCGTCGTCGAATGAAATCATATGCTCGACTCCCACAAAATGTGGGAGTCGAGGCAGAGCGGATGGTGACGGGATCACCATCCGTAGTTCGAGCCTAATCTGGATCGACCACTGCGATTTGTCGAGTTGTACGGACGGCTTGCTTGATGTCACCAGGGGATCCACCGCCGTGACAATATCCAATTGCTACTTTTCCCACCACGACAAGGTCATGCTGCTCGGTCACACAAATGGGTTCTTGGCTGATTCCCATATGCAGGTACATTATTCACTTTTCACAAAAATGCATGCTCACTTTGGAGGGAGTGTAATCCTCTTTTTTGTGTCATTTGACAAGTATTAATAAAGTGGTTGAAAAAGTAAAAGTTGTGGTTGAATTTTGAATATAATAAAATGAAATCTCGTGAAACACAACTTTCTTTTAAAAAAGGGAAATGTGACATTTATTTTGGGACAACCCAAATAGTAAAATAAGACAGGTAAAATGAGACGAGGGAGTATATGTTATATATATTGATAATTTGACATCACCATGCATTTTTGTCGAAGCTGACAAAAATATGGTGATGATATTACTCGGTGTATAATTTAGTCTATATGACCAGGAATGGATTTAGGGGGGCATGGAGGCGACCTCCCTTGGGTTTTCAAAACTTTGTACGTAGTATTATACCGGCCATATTTTCATAAAATTATTTTGCTTTAAATACATATATATGCTCCCCCCCCCCCCAATACTTAATAGGCATTGTATAAGAAGAAAAATATAAAATTGTTAATCTTAATGAAATGTTTTTGTTAAGTTCAATTTTTTCTTTGTGAACATCAGTAATGCTATATATTAATTTCTATAATTGAATAAATAAATTATAGAAGAACACATTGAGTTATAATTTATGGTACTTATTCTATGAACAGACAATGTTAAGTTTAATTTATACTACGTATTTAATTGATAAAAATTACTGGATTTTATAAATTATCAAGCAATATTAAAAAATGTATTAGACACTAATTAAATAGTTTTTAGATAATTAGGAGTAAATAAAAAATAGAAATGCTTTTGTGATATTAAAATTACACTCATTTAGTTTCTAAATTTGTAAAAAGAATTTATTTCATATTTAATAAAATCTGAAACATTCTAGCAAACATACAAATATATTTTGCACAAACACTATGAGTTAACAATATAGTATTATTCTAAAAATTAATAATCGCATAAATACTATTGTAAAATCCAAAAGACTCATTGTGGCTTCTAACGGTCATGATAAACAAAAAAAGCTTAGCTTAAGAGTTTTATTCCTGTACTCCTCAAGAGTTGTTGCACCGATGCACCTCAGTTGGCCGCCGCTTGAATGCAGCATCCTTTTCGACATACTTTAATAAGAGTTTTATTTATTATTTTAATAAGAGTTCTTCAACTAAACAAGGCATAAATTATTAAAAAAATAGAGGTAGATTTGCACCCGAGAGGCGCACTTTATGTTAAAAAACTTGATAAAAATTTAAGTTAGTTTTAATGTACCAATACCTTTTTTATAGCGATTCAATAAAAAATCTAAGTTGATTTTCTCGTTGTACCTGAAAATTTAGAGTATGAAAATTTTTAAATGTTGGGTAAACGCTAATGATTTTTTTGAATAAAAACTAGGCAAAGTGTTATGCTAAATAAAAAAAATTTGCTCATAATCCAGGATCCGTCCCTGTATATGACTTTTTAAAAAGTATGCTTTAGAAAATGATGGACGAGAACAAATAGAGTAATTATTTTTTTTGATAAAAAGAGTAATTAATTTTGACAATGAAGGTGACAGTGGCCTTTAATCACTTTGGAGAAGGATGTGTGCAAAGAATGCCAAGATGTCGAAGAGGATATTTTCATGTGGTGAACAATGACTACACGGAATGGAAAATGTACGCGATCGGCGGCAGTGATAATCCCACTATCAACAGCCAAGGCAACCGCTTTATCGCACCTAATGAGGATGAATTCAAAGAGGTAGTCCATACTACGCACATAATTACTTAATCATTGCATTACTTGATTATCACTCCATAATGAATACAATGTTAACGATGTGTCAGAGACACATCGTTAACACAAATAATTGATCAACTTTAATTTTTTTACCCTAAGGGAGTCGGGGGTAGTGGGCTGGGTGGAGCCTGCGTAAATAGGGTTAAAACTTCCTCCATCAAGTTTCAAACACGAGACCTTTGTATGATAGAGTGCGTCGGCGACCTGTTGAGCTGGACCACTTTCTCAACGATCAATATTTTATGAAAAGGCAATACCAAATAGAAGTTTAAGAATTTGTATCACTAGGGGATACTAGATACAAAAAATGGTCTCGAGGTATTTCACAATTAACAATAAGCAATTCACTGATAGGCGATTGTCAATGGGTTTGTAAGAGTAGTACTTTCCAATAAAATTGTATTAAATATTCTACATAAATTGCTCAAGATATTTTATCAAAATATAATGGTACGTATTACTTCGTATTATGTTTCAATAATTATTTTTTATGCTATACTCAGGGACGGAGCCACATATAAGGGTGTGGTGTCAATTGACACCACTCAAATAGTTTTTGTAATTATATATATAGAGGTATATTTTTAAAAAATTAATTTGACACCGCCTATATAAATGGAATGATTATCAATTGACACCACTCATATATTTTTTGTAGTTATATACAAAGGTATATTTTCTAAAACTCAATTTGACACCACCAATATTAACGAAATGAGGGTCAAAATATAAATATATATTTATATATACTCCCTCCGTATTTTTTTTGTTTGCTACATTAGGTGTTGGCACACTTTTTAAGAGTGAAGTAGTAAGGGTAATGAATAGTGAAGAAAAGGTACGAGAGATGATGGAAAAGTATGAAAGAGAAGATAAAAAGTAGAAAAAGTAAGGGTAGATGAGTATTTTTAAAGGAAAAACTTACCAAAAAGGGAAAATGTAGCAAATTTTTGAATACATCCAAAAAAGGAAAGTGTAACAAACAAACAAATACGGAGGGAGTATATGAAATAATTACATATTTGTAACTACAATAAAAGTTATTTATAAAAAGTGATGTTTTAAGTGTAGTGACTACATTAGAAACTTTAGTTATAGTAACTTTACTTCAATTTTACACTTATGTGACCATGACACCGTACTATAGTACTACATAACTTTTCATGATATTTTTGTAAATAAGTTTATTTTAGAAATATTTTTGAAAACGTCTAACATTTATTTAACTAAAACAAAATTACACGTAATAAAATCTAGTCATGGTTAATACGTAGTATATTTTACACAATTCAATAAGTGATGCGCTATAATATTTATTCAAGACAAATATAACGATTCTTAAATTTAAAACTTGACAACAAACTATGATTAAGGTCACAAATGAAAGAATTGGCACATTATAATGTTGACAATAAATTTAGATAAGATCATGTGTGACATAAAAAACTAGATAGTCATTCTTTCACACATGTAATATTTGATGAATTTATTATCGTAGTTTTACTTTATTATTTAGCTATATTAAAAATTGTTATTAATAAAGTGCTTGAAAGTACTCACGGTAAGAAAAATAAACAATATTCAAAGGGAACACAATGTTTGATAATACTGAAACTATCACCAATTATGAATAGTAAAACAAAGTATAGAAATAATCAATTCACCCCCACCTATTTAAATATATATATATACAAAGTCAAATAAATATATAAGAGATCAAATACAAAATCCCCATAAAAGGTTGTACATGCACAGTGGTATTTTGGTATTAAAACCAAAACATTGGCTCAAATAATTGTAAAAAAATGTATGATCATAAATAAAGTTTTTAATATCGTGTCATAGAAGTAGAATTTAGTTTAAAATTTTGACATCACTCGATCAAGAGAATCGCTGGCTCCATCACTAGCTATATTTGTTCATATATAGTCGGTGAATAAATATTCTTGATACGCTAGTGATTAGAAGTCTATATTCGTGATTGGATGAATGAATTTTGTGTTTGTTTTGTGGTTGGGCGGGCGGGCATGACCGATGAAGGTGACAAAGCGGATAGATACAAACAAAGACGAGTGGAAAGGATGGAATTGGAGGACACAGGGGGACATGTTGGTCAACGGAGCGGTCTTCGTCCCATCCGGCGACGGTCTGAGCAACGTCTTTACCCAAGCCTCCAGCCTCGACCCTCACTCTGTCCTTTTCATGGACCAGCTCATCACCCACGTCGGTGTCCTCCCTCTTCCCGCTGGGTACGTACATACTTACGTTTATTATATTATATTGCTCCCCTCTTATTTTTTTGTTAATCGGGAGCGTAGCTCACCTGATAGAAAGAAAACGCCACAAGAATTCCGAAGAAATGGTAAGATATGGGTAAGAGTTTTCGCAGATATCCCTATTACCGGGAAACCACTCTCACTCTCTTTCCATCAGAATGAGATCAAAGCTTAACTCACATTTTCCAAGATAACTATTCAGTTAGTTGTGGGGGCCCTCTGGGGGTGGAGTGTCATCCTTTTTTATTAATTACTTAATTAATTACACTTACCAACTTAACCTATAAAAATGTCGAAACATATCGACATATATAGAAAACATTAATTTATGGTTCATATAAAATGGTAAAAGTGAGATGCATATTATTGATTCCATTAGTAGTACTACTAATCATTTTTTTCATTATATTTACGTAGTAATTTTGTTATCTAATTGGGAAGGTAGTATACCCTAAGGACCATTCTGGTTGAGGGATTTTGAAGGAGAGGGAAGGGGAGGCCTGATTGTTTTCTTTATTAATTATATAGTTATAGTAATAACTATATAATTAGTTAGGTGGTGTATTTTTATATACTATTTTTTCTTTATTTTGTCTTAATTTCTCTAAATGTAAAAATTATTTTAAATATAAATATGACACCTCCCTTTCCGTCTCCTCCGAAATCCCCCAATCAAACTGGCCCTAACAGATCACAATGGATTTAGTCTATTTTTATGTTTAAATAATTCTTCTTCATTAGTAATTTAGGATTTTTTACCCGCTAGCACGTGCATGAATCTATAATTTTTATGATGCTTGTGAAATAAGTTTTGTGTGTTTGGTTAGCAAACATATTGTATATGTTTAAACTATTTCAATAATTAAGATTATTTAATAATCAGCACAAATAATATCATAAACTGTATTAACGCCTTGCTTTAGTAGGAGCTTCTTTTTTACTAGGGGGTCAGGGAGGGGGGGCTGGGAGGTCTTGCATTTGTATGTTTTTAAAAAGAATAATGCTCATTTTTAACATAACTCTGAATTGAATGAAAATACATTGAAAAAATTCTGAATAATCTATAAAAAAAATCGACATAATATTGTGACCATTTGAAATTACCACAAATGTTTTTCAAAAAGCAATCTTAAATGAAATGAACCATGTAGCTAGATATGAAATGCAATTCAAGGGGTGAGTCTTGGATTCGAATCCTAGCAACTTCGATGAGATGTTACTACATAAAAATGCATAGAGCCTCTGCAAGTACTTGAGCCAGAGCCACACTCGTTATCTGCCAGCTTTGATCAAAATCCAATTTACATCCTCTCAGTTAATTGTTCGGCCGATGTTGGGGTTTTCAGGGATGGAGTGTCATCCTTCTTTTTATGAAATGCAATTCATTTTACATTACAATTGACATTCAACAGGAATAATCCGACGCCTGTACCTTCTTCTGGTGGGACAATACCCGTACCTTCTGATGGCGGGGCAACGCCTATACCCTATGATGGTGGGACAATACCTGTACCTTCGGATGGTGGGGCAACGCCTCTACCTTACGGTGGTGACGGTGGTGGGACAACGCCCGAAACCTATGTTGGAGGAGGGACAACCAATGTAGAAGACTACCACGAGGGTAGCGCATCGTCTGCAGCATTATCTAGAGCTATTGCAACCAATCTTTTCTTGTTGTCTCTTCTAATTATCCTAAACAATTTACCATAACCACCAACCGTGGTTAATTATGGTTTCCGATAATTAATGGAAAAAAATAACAAAATAAATATGTATCATGCATGTCCCCACCTTACTCTACATAATTGATTATTGGAATTGATACTCAAAGCTAGAGACACTAAAAGCTAGGCTGGTCCTGAATGTTTTAATTGGATGTATGTCATGTTACTAAGTGGAAATGTGGAATTTACATTAGATTATATTTGATTAGCATAAATAGTGGTGAATCCGAACCCAACCTATTATTATGTACAGAGTAACAATTTTGAAAGGTACAGACATTATCGATATATGTTGTTATTCTCAAAATCTTATTTAGTCAGTTAGCAAAGTGAGCACAATTTGGTTTATGTAATTCTATATTCTAGCTAAATAGATGTTCTTCTGCGGTTTTGTTCATGTTTTTGGTCCCGAAAACACTAGTAGTACTTAGGCTATATAATGTTATCTCCACTTCTACTTTGATTCAATAGTACAGTGTCTTAGTTTTGAGATGAATGTTTAAACTTGGATGCCGTATGAACCGATAGGAAGAAACATTGTTGTGTTAAATAAGAAAAATACATTACTATTGAAACCCCCATGCCCAAGTTTAATTTATACAATTTTGATTTTGATTGTTGTTATATATAACAAGTTGAAATAAAATTGTTTCATATTGTTTTTTAATAGAATACAAGACAAAAATATAATGATTTTGAAAAGAAGCATCACAACTGTGTTATATGAACTGTTTTATGATGTCCCCATTTCAGTTTACACATAAACTTGACAAATAAACTTGACAACATATGTTATTTTTACATCCGTTGTCCTTAAATGATGTCCCCATTTCAGTTTATGATGCATAATTGAGGATAAAGTTAACTTTTTCCCAATAATATTTTGATTAGTACAAATAATTGAAACTTACATATTTAAAGGCTACATGAAAGTAATATTGAAATGCAAGACTTATTGAATCCCAAAACAAGTATGAACACTACAAAAAGAAGGGAATTTTGTGCCTATTAGTCATAGCTTGACATCAATTTTTGTCATTCCTTGTGCCAAGTGACCCGAAACAAGGATTTTATCGTAGATTTGGCATGAGTCCACGGATTCTTGCAAAACTAGTGCTAAAAGTAATTTCCAAAGTTGTTTTTTCATAAAAAATATTAAAATTGAGCCGTGCAAAAATATTGTGTCAATGCATCACAAACTTGTGTCAAACTCATCATTGTTTTTTTTATATTGAAGTATTATAAAATAAAATGATATATAGTAGTATTTTATCTCAAACTGAGCCATGCAAAATGATATATTTCATTTGTTGTGTGACTTGCAAGGACGGTCACGATCCTAGTCATGGATCATACCATTCATACCTCATATCATTAATTTTTATGATACAAAACATACTTGGAATTCTAATATGAAAAAAATGGTGTAAGAACGATACCGACTTGAAATGAACTTCATTTTGGAATAATTATGATCTTATATTTCAAATGAATACAAATATTATTTTTTCACGTCTTTTTCGGTTGGACACGGTCCTAGTTTTGAACGATATCTCAGACATCTAGTTTTAATGATACAAAAGATAATTAGAATTCTAATACAGAATCAGAAATGATGTAAGAATAACACGACTCTACACTACAAAAAAAATATTGAAATAGTCAAGATTTTGTATGGGATGACAGTTCAAGAATTCCCTGACAATCGCTTTTGTAAGGGATTTTGTCAGGGATTTAATCCCTGGCTCCAGCGCCTTGACAAAACCATTGTCAAGGATATTATATCTGCGACTTACTTTGCCAGGGATTTGTCAGAGATACTTCCGAAACAATAATTTGCCGATCGCCGGCGAGGTTTGTCAAGGATTCAAATCCCTAACATAGTTTTTAAAGCTGGACAAAATATAATTACCTAGTCAGGATAATTCCCAGAGTAAATTCAAATACCGCCTTAGGAGGTGTTTACTTCGGTGCTAACCTAAGGGTTGTGGTTAGCAAGATCTAAACTCTAAGAGTATTGTTCAAAAACCATTATCATATTGAAGACAATGTGCCCATTTCAGTTATTAACCTAATACAATTATGCTCTTTAAGAGAAATCATATGCATCAAGTTTAGAGAATTACATTCTATAACAATATAGTGTGTAACTTTTTCAATTCAAAACTAAATGATACAAATACATCCAACAAAAGACCATTGGGATCATTACATCTATTGCCCTTTTAGCATGTTGTACAAGTTTTTGTTTGTTGTTTTTCTTTCAAATTTGATCCTGAAATTATATTTATCGAGATATGTTCATGCAATGATATTACACATTGCTAAAAGCTCACCATGCAAACCTACCTCATTTATCTCAATAATTCTTTGAGTGTAACTATTACACATTACTTGAGTTCATTAGCAATTTTGATTTTTTAGTTAACAGACAGTCATTTGATTTCGCCCATTTGATTTTTGTTGTTAAAAGACACTCATTTGATTTATTTATTTACTATAACCTTAATTTTCATAAAATAATAATAATATAAAATGTAGTCAAAGTAGAACATATGAATAATGTAAAATTCAACATGTTGCGATTAAAAAGAGACGGAGGATAGTATAACATATAAAAATTCTTTTATCTTTGAAGTTCGATCTGGATACGAGTGATACGATCACTTAAGATTATGATATTACTAAGATTCAACCATACATTTTCGGCGTGAAAAACAAAGATGTCGTCGGCATCAAATTTTTTGCCAGAAAGTGTACTTTTAAGTTGAAAACTAAAAAGTCCTTAAAGTAGATATATTTATGAGTTAGGAGACAAAATCTGCAAGTGAGTAAATTAAAGTTACAACAAAAAGCTTACTCTACAATTGAAGAAGGGGGACTGAGAGCATGGGTGAAAAGTCATAGCCGCTCTATTCACCCATCTTTTAAAAATGATATTCCTCATTTAATTTTCTTCTTTGCCTAAAGAATGTGTAAAAAGTGGTTTGGTGCTCGTATGAGCGGTGATTGGTTCCCTAGTGTGTCTAAGGTTGTTGTTATCATGTCAATTTTGATAGTCACTTTTGTTAAGATCAGACTAGGGTTCCATCCTAAAAGGCCAACCTGATAGGAGTAGTTCAAAGTCTTTTTTTTTTAAATAAGTAGCCCAAAGTCTTATATAGAGTTTTATTGTTTTATAACTTTCCGGTGTGAGACAAATACTTTAACACGCCCACTAAGACCGAACTAGACGAGACAATATCGGGGTGTATAAATGGGTCAAACAGACACTTAACAAGCTACTCTTAATCATGAGTGTTAAACAAGTAGTAATTATTTGAAAAAGTATATTCCTGTAATTAAAAAAATTGGTAGAACCCAAGTTCCCCACTTTGGTAGTAATTATCTGATGAGCGGTTTTGGTGAAAGATGGTTGTGCATGATTTATGCAAGTTTATATCTTTTTCCGCAACCAGGTTTAATTTAGTATTCGTATGTTTTAATTTATATTTAATGTATGTTAACATCATGCATTGGTGACCTCTGTTGGGTGTGTTTCGAAAAACAAAGAAAATTAATTAAAATAAATTAATTAATAAAATGACAAAAGAAAACAGAAATGAGATGAAGCAGAAATTTGTCAAAGCTCGTGCTACGCACGATGTCCTTAAAACGTATTTGTTGCCTCCCACGGTGCTAGGAGCGTTGCAACAATAGTTTCCCAGGATACGATGACAACGAACTAATGTTTGAGCACACAAACAAGAGTTCCAACGAACGAGAACAAAAGCTGAACACAAAGGGAATTTTCGGAATGCTGGAGGTGTATTTGAGCTAGAAAACACGTGAAGTTCGTATTGTGTGTTGTTTTATTGTTGCAAACCACCTGCAGCCATTTATAGGGAAGATTTGTTGTGTGTTTAATGGAGGTTTAATGGATATGAACGTTGGTAATCAATGCCCAGCACGTTGGCATTGATTCTAGTCCAAAAAACCGTCCATTTATTGCAAAGGAACGTTGGGCATTTATGGAGTTGTAACGTCCCAGCAGTGGGCTGCGGCAGTCGTCTCAGCAGCAGGCTGCTGCGGACTGTCCTGCCGGCAGCAGGCTGCTGCCGACTATCCTGCCGGCAGTGGGCTGCTAGAGCAGCCGACTGCTACCTCATTTCAACGGGCAAACTTCGAAAATCGATATTTCATTCACCCGTTATCCGTTTTGAGTGTACCACGTATCGAATTGTAGCCCTTAACAAGGACAATCCGAAACCACTTTGACCCGACCCGAATCGGAAGTGGACCCCACTCAAAAAATTGCCCCAAAATGACCATTTAATGCAATATACTAACACATTTTCCAACAACCTCTTATTTATTTCTATTAATGTGTATCTTATGTGGATAAACATTACCTTACTTGAGTGACGCTTGGCGAAATTTAGTAATTTACCTTCTTTCGAAAGAATAGCATGGAAGACGCTCTTACCGCACATTTAATTGCTTAGGGAATTAACTGTAATAAAAAACCGTTCCAAACTTTGTAATATTCATTCCGCCCGACTGATTTTCTCTTCATCACCTATTCGCGGCGGGAATCCTATAAGGTACAACCCATTTCCCTTCCCTGTCTCTATTTGTGTTTTTTTTGCGGTGCTTCTTCATTGCATTCGGGTGTGTATTTATGCTGCGAGCATTTAACCAGATCTTTTTCTTCTTGGATTTGGTTTGCCGTACTTAGTGAGAATCAAGGGCAATATGTAAATTAGATTATTCCAAGTTAGATATTCATTACATTTTTAATTGTTAAAAAGGTTGAGAATTTTTTTAGAACAAATATTTGGAGTTTTAGGTTAAAAAGGACCAATCTTTGAGCAGGTAAATTGTAGAGAGTTCTTTGGTTTTCCTTTTAATGGGTTGTTGTAGTGTATCGTTCGGGATTTTAAATTGTTCCTATTTGGTTAGTAAGAAAAAAGAAATTTACCATGTCACATGCCTTTAGTTAATCCTTAGGCTAAATGCAAGATGCTTATCAAGTTTTGGTGAATTGATTTTTGTTTTAAGAAAATACAGTGTTATGTATTCCATTCTTATTGGATTGTTTTCTTGTCAGATGTTTGTTTCTTGAACTTAACTTATAGACTTCATTATATTGGAGTAGTATAGTTATTTTTTGGAACTTCTTCATTGAAACTTTAAAAACAAGAAATCCTTTATTGGATAACTGTGATTAAGGTAAAATAAGGTTTTTAAGGTGACTTCAATTTTGTTATAAATTGACAACCATACCCTATCAGTTT